CCTTTGCCTCTTTCTTCTCACTATGTATATTCTTATTAGTATAATACTTATGTGTGTTATTTTCTCTTTTATCTTGTTGAGTAGAGGTACCGCACATCCAAAGCCTAGGGGTGTGGTTTGACGGCTTAGCGTTGTCTTTGTTCTTCAATGACCAAAATACCATAGATTTCGTAAGATAAAGTATTAGGAAGAACTATGAACTTAACTAGGAGTGCGGCGAAGTCAGAAAATGATTATGGAATTCAAAACAAAATCCAAATACCAAGTACTTCGCTTCAAACCCCAAAATGTGCTTTCTGATTTTTTTTCGCTCTCCTAGTGAAGTAGAACTTTGTTTCTGACAATGTATGTTACTAAACCTGCGGAATTTGAGGTTATTGGAGAGCAAAGACGAACCTATGCTCCCCAAGTCCGCTTTCAAATCCGAATCAAATCCTAAAGTCTTTGATTCTAAATCCCCAATCTGTTGTATTTTTGTTGTACCTTTATTATTGGACAAAAAAAAAAGTAGACTGGCGTTTTAGAACATTAGTACTTCTTCAGAAAGATTTTGTTGGCAAAATATCTGTCGACGAACGATATTATTACCATTGAAATTACTCCTAAACAATCGAAACTGGTTTTGTATGGCGGCACTCTCGATTTTAAGGTTTTAACCCTTTGGTTACGGATTTTTTTTGCAAAGATGACAAAAAATGAGGGTTTACCCATAGATGCCTGGAATCAGATATATATGTCAAAGGAAAAAAATGGATTGCATTAGGCTTCAATCAACACCATAAAATTTAGTACTTGTACGGTAGAGTAGAATTATCCAAAGCCTTGCAGAATCTTTCGTGTCGCTTCATGAATAACCTTGCGGTTTCATATCATGATATAGATGTAATAAAATTGAGCGTCTGATCTTCTGTAAGATTAACACTTCAGCAGTAATTCAAACTTTCTCGAGCGACAATAATCTAAAAATCATCATTGTTACTTCTATTCGCGAGAGGACAGCGATCGCCAGATCACCGACGTGCTGGATCCGTCAGTACTGATTACTCGAATACTAGTAAAGAAATTTATATTTTGAATTTTTTTTCATTTCATAGTAAAACATATACAATAAGCACCAAAGTTATTCAACAAGGTTTATTTTCTATTTTTCTTCAATGCCGCAAGCGCTAAAAAGAATGCAAATAGTGATTCGAATAGAGAAAATTGTTTTTCAAAGAAATATCAGGATATAAAAATTTTAATCAGTCTCCAAAAGATAGGGACTCTAGAAAACCAAAAGGATAGGTTTTTAGAGCCCAGAACGGATAAATATAATTATTAGATGAGATATAGTCATCTTACAGAAGTTCCTAAAGTTGATTTTTCTTCAATTTCCTATAGAAAAAAAACATTTCTTGACTCTCAATCAAATTATGATATCTCAGCTAAAAACCATCGCAGAGACCTTGGGAATGTCTCAATTTGTAGAGCATAGTTTACTCTGTTGTTTCATGTAGTCCAAATAATATTATATTTATGCGTTCTAGATGTCGACAAACTACGGCTCTAGTTTTCTGGAATCTTGATCTTTATGAATATGATAATAATTTTTATTTCTTTACATTCTTATTGGAAACCATTTTCTCCTGCTCGAATCACTATTTGAATTCTTTCTAATGCTTATGATAGCAAAACAATTTGACAAAAAACCTTGTTGAATAATTTTAGTACTCATTGTATATAACATCTTCCATCGATTAACACCTCTAAATATTGAACACATTTCTAAAGTCCCGACTATGTTCATTTAAGAGAGATTTTATTGTAGATACGAATGTAAGAATTCAAAACTTTTGCTGTAGATTTTCTTCATAATAATCAATTACTTTTATTGTTAAAATTGTTATCTAGATTGTCAGAATCGAATTGGAAAATAACAAGCAAAAAACAAACAATCCTGATGAATCATCGAAATATTAATAAGTATCTATTTTTAAAAAGAAGATTGAATTAGTGCATGTAAAGCACAATTGATTCTGTTGTTTATTTGAGAAAGAAAAAAAAACAAATGGGAGCAATAGTATTTTTTTTTCTCTCTCTCATATCTAAGCATCAACATAAAAGAAAAAGAAAAAAAAAGATCAAGTTGGACAAAAGTAATGGTCTTATATATTTGACTCTCTAATTATAATCTATAGAGGTATTTAGAATGAGAGAGAAACACTCGAGAAAGAAAAAAAGAAGAAACTTTTCTAGAAGACAAAAGAAAAAAACGACAGAAAAGTAAGTAATATACTAAGAACACTGTTGGTCGGTTTATTATCGTTCATAGGATTGAATTTCTTAACGTTCTGAAGCAAGTTTTTCAGCACGAGCTGATACATCTTCAATACCGCCGACCATATAGAAAGCTCCTTCGGGTAAGTGATCTAATTCACCTATTAACAAAAAATAATAATAATAAAATTTGTTAATTCAATAACAAAAAAAAGAAAGGTAATTCTTACCGTTCAATACCATTTTAAATCCTTTGATTGTTTCTTTGAGTGGTACTAATTTACCTGGTGTACCAGTAAATACTTCAGCGACCTTTAAAATAAAAATATTGTAAACAACGATGCTGACAATCGTCCATAAGGGGGATCGAATATCTATTAGTGTTGATCTAGATAACTATTATTATTGCACTTTTTCCTATGTGTCTTAAATATAAAATAAATTATAAAACACTACACAAAAGTGCTATTTTAAAATATGCCTTAACATAGATTCGAACTTAAATATTAAACACTTTTATCAACTAACCTGAAAAGGTTGCGATAGAAAACGTTGAATTTTACGTGCACGTGCTACAGTTAATTTATCATCATCAGATAATTCATCCATACCCAAAATAGCAATAATATCTTGTAATGATTTATAATCCTAAATAAGAAAGAAAAAACGAAATTTCGTATGTTAATGATGATGATACGTTTTCTTTGTTTTTTATTTTTGCTTCTCATTTTATTTTACTTGGAGTGTTTTTTGAATACTACGTGCAACTGAATAATGTTCTTCACCAACAATATTTGGATCAAGAATACGTGATGTTGAATCTAATGGATCGACAGCTGGATAGATACCTAATTCAGCAATACCACGTGATAATACAGTTGTTGCATCCAAGTGAGCAAATGTTGTAGCTGGAGCTGGATCAGTTAAATCATCAGCAGGTACATAAATAGCCTAGACAAAATCAGATTTTTTTTTTCAACGAACAAGATTCTTTTTTTTCTGTTGTCTTTCAACATACTTGTACAGATGTAATTGAACCTTTCTTTGTTGTTGTAATACGTTCTTGCATAGTACCCATATCAGTAGCTAATGTTGGTTGATAACCGACAGCTGATGGAATACGACCCAATAAAGCTGATACCTAAAAAACAAAAAAAACACAATATGAATTTCAATAGAAGATAAAAAAAAAAGAAAGAATCTTACTTCTGAACCAGCTTGTGTAAAACGAAAGATATTATCAATAAAAAGAAGTACATCTTTTCCTTCTTTATCACGAAAATTTTCAGCAACTGTTAAACCCGTTAAAGCAACACGAGCACGAGCACCGGGTGGTTCATTCATTTGTCCATAGACAAGTGATACTTTTGAACCTTTACCTTTAAGATCAATAACTTTAGTTGTTATCATTTCATGATATAAATCATTTCCTTCACGTGTACGTTCACCAACACCAGCAAATACAGAATAACCACCATGTGATGTAGCAACATTATAAATTAATTCCATGACCAATACAGTTTTACCTACACCAGCACCACCAAACAAACCAATTTTACCACCTTTAGCATATGGTGCTAATAAATCGACAACTTTAATACCAGTTTCAAGAATTTGTTGTTCAACATTCATATCCGTAAATGGTGGTGCATCAGCATGAATTGGTGCAAAATCTTCAGCATTAACAGGACCACGTTCATCAATTGGATCACCAATAACATTAATAATACGACCTAATGTTGCTGCACCAACTGGAATTTTAATTGGTGTACCAATATCTGTTACTGGTTGTCCACGTACAAGACCTTCTGTACCATCCATAGCAATAGTTCGTACGGTGTTATCACCTAAAAAAAACGAATAACAAAAAAAAGGAAAATGTAATAGTTTCTTTTTTTCTTCATACCTAAATGTTGTGCAACTTCAAGAATTAATTTTGGTTGACGACCATCAACTTGAAGTGCATTAAGAATTGGTGGTAATTGTTCATCAAATTGTACATCAACAACAGCACCAATAACTGATACAACACGACCTTTAGCACCTTTAGCAGCTTGAACTGGTTGTTTTTGACCAGTTTGTGTTTGTTTATTCTCTACAGTTTTTTGTTGTGTTGATTGGGCTGCAGCATTTCGTTTACCAACAACTATTTATAAATAAATAATTCAATTTGGAAAAAAAAGTAAAAAGAAAAAAGAAAACATACTGTGAAAATTAGCGGTTGGTTGATAAGCTAGTCTTGACCATCTTGAATTAGCAATTGTATGACGTTGTTTACCAAGTACAAATTGTGCTACGCTACCTGCTCGTCGGCAGGCACATCGTATGCCCTGCATAATTGTACAACTAGGTAGTCTGAAAATGAAAAATAAATTATGAAAAAATGAGTAAATTGTTTAGATGAAAAACAAAAGCAAAAGCGACGTAATTTATCGTTTTCTAAGACCACAAAAGAGTTGTCTACATCGTAGAAAACAACTGATGATGTCCTTTAACGAGGTATCGTGTAAAGATTAATGGCGAGGTTTTTTATGAATTGATAATAGATTTAAATAAAATAATCTTATTATAAAAGAATAAAATTCTAAAAAATAATATTTAATTAAATATATGAAACTATCTATCATAACACACTTATGCATTTTGTATCGAAGGATTTTGCTTAGTAACAAATTTTAAAATGAACAAAATTTTCATCACATATTCGTCGACTATGATACAATAATAAAGTGTGTATTGACAAGATGTTCACATTATCACCAGGTGATGCTCTTGATTATGCAGCAGTTTTTGAAGATGCTGCTGAAGAATTACATATTCTTGGTAAACTAGTTCCACCACATTATCAATATACAGAATCAGCTGACGAGGTTTGTTGATATAATAATAATAATAATTAAACAAAAAACAAAAACATCGATGTTTTTTTTTCTCTATATTATTAAAGATTGTTCGTAATCAAATCGAACATGTATTAAATGCTCAACATAAAATTGAAGATGATTATGATGCACAAATATCACAACGAAGTCAATTACATCAAAATAAAACACATGATACACTTCAACAACCAAATGCAAAAGAAAGTCAAAAATTAATGGAAGAATTAAGTGCTGAATTAAAAAAGACTACAGCGGATTTAAAAACAGGTGTTAATAAAATTAATCGAATGTTTAATCAAAATCCATTAACAGCAGATAATATGAAAAAAGTTGAACAAGATCGGTAAGCAACTATTTTTTTTAAGGTTCACACTTATGAGCAACCTTTAATGCGATGAAATTCTATGTTTTATTATCATGACATTGAATAATAATTTTTCTATCAATCTTATTCATTTGTTTAAGTCAACTAAGATCTTTATTCATATAAAACAAAATTCTGGCATTGAACTACGTAAACGAAAAAGCATGCGTAGAGATAAGTCAAACAGTTTTGTTTGGCTTAGTGCCGAATATGACAAGTAACATCCATACAAAACTGTCTTTAAGGCAACATCAATAATTAAAATAATTTTTCTAGTCTCATGCTCTTTACAGACAAATGATTCAAGACAAATCAATTGAAATTTCTTGAAGGAATGTTTCTTAATATAAATACTCTTTAAATATTTAATGTCAATACTCTAGGTTCAAAAAATATCGCCGTTTTCCATTATCTAACAAAAAGACCGCGGAAAATAGTAAGAAAAACAGTTCATAGAGCGTGATGACAGGTTATGGTGACATAAGATGAAATTTAATGCTGTAATATAGTCGTTTCTAGCTATTTCCGAATATTGGAATGTTCCTTTTAGGAAGTGTCCATATTATCCAATTGAGATAATTATCAGTCACTAAAGATCCTTCAAATCTCTCTTTCTTTTTACATATAACTTTTTAAAAAATCGAAAGTTTTCCTCAAATTATAAAAGACTTTGCTTCTGGTCTATCTTCATTATCATTATTAATCAAAAATATTCATTTCTAATATTAGATTTTTTTACATGATCATTAACAACGGAAGAAACGATTGACATTATATAAGTTTAATAATATATGCCTCTAGGGAATTGTTCTATGTATGTCAAGAAGCAGAAGTTAAAATTGCAAGATGTCATCGAATAATATATTCACAAAAGAACGAATTTGACTATATTTATTTTTTAACATCATTTAACGTTATTCACACAAAAAAAAGAAGAAAAAGTTAATAATGAAATATTTGTTTTATTTCTTTAGTATTTATTTTGAAAAATTATTAACAAAATCAATTCTTGCTCTTAATGATCATAAATCTATTGAACCACTTAAAATGATGGTTGAAAAAGAACAAGAATCAAAAAGTCAATTTATTCATGTCGTTCGAAGGTATGTCTACTTATTACATAAAATACTAATAATATCTTTATTTTAATATGCATAATAAACTAATGATAGGTTTTTTAAATTCGTATGAACAGTTTATAATTTGATGTTTACTTCAATGAAAATGATAATCCTTTTTTATATATAATAAAAGATAAATTGTAATACGCCATTAAATAACAACGAAATATGATCTGAGAAAGTCTTTAAGAGATACTTCATATAATTAAATACATGCTTTCGTTGTTATTTATATTTAGTTCACTCAAAATATTTTAGAGAGTTCGTTCTAAGCACAAATGTTGAAAGCTTTCTTGTCGTTTTTTTTTTCATAAACAAAAAGATCAGATAATTAAAGATCATTGTAATGTATAAGTAATTGCAAGTGGCATTGACTTTAAGAGCTATTCAATTCAAAAAATTATTAAGAAAAATAAGAATAAGATTTAATTATTTGTTAAAATAATCCAACTCCGTGTCTTCAATACACAGCTTTGGCTTTAAATATATGCTATTCATTAAAGGGTCAACAAGAACTTAGTTTAATTGCGTTATTTCGGCTGAAAAGTTCAAATGATACAAAAAAGCATTGGGTTCATCTATTTCAACATTGTTTTTTGATAAATTGAGAGAAATACTTAGGTTAAAATATTCATTATAGATTTGTTCATTAAATTTCCGAATTGTTTTTAGATACATTAGAAAATTTTAATAAGGTATTCATATAAAAATATGCTATTCTTTTGCATTTTTTTTTTAAATATTTTTTTTTCTATCATTTATTATGAACAATAAATAAATTTAATTATATCTAGTGAAGAAGAAAGTCGTCAACGAATAAAAGAATTAGCACAAAGTATTCAAAATATTCGTCAAGAAAAAATTACGGAATTAGCACGACGTGCTGAAGTAATAGCTTATCAAAAAGATCAATTACAAGAAGCAAAAGCTAAAGCACAACTTGAAATTACATATGAAAAGAAAAAATGTGAAAATCATCTTGAACAAATACGTGAACGTTGTTTTATTGCTGAACAAGACATGCGTCGAGAACAAGAGGTAATGAATAATAAATTCTTTTTGTGTTTTATTATTTTTCAAATTTCATTGTTTCTTTATTTTCTTCATAATAGGCATTAGAAAATCGTTCCGAAGACGAAATGAAATGTAATTCCGAAACAGAAAATTTCTTACGTGTTTTTATAAAAGTATTAAAAAAATGTCGTATTTTTTAAATATAAAATTTTATTTTTAACTAGGATACAGGTCAAAAAACTGATGAATGGCTTGAAAAATATAATCAAGAAACAGCTGCCTTACAAACTCAATTAGATAAGTTAAAAGCTGCACGTGCAACTGATTTAGCAACTTATCAAAGAATTGCTGCTGATGTAAGAGAAAAACTAAAAAACAATGTGTTAATTATGAAACTGTTTGTTTTGTTTTTTTTTTCGTAGTTTACTCAATATGAAAAAGTTGTACGTGATGATCGAGCAGAAAAAGAACGTCGTCGACGACAATTGGAACGTGAAGAACAACAAATGACTGCTGCTGTTAAAATACAATCATGGTGGAGAGGAATGCTTGTGAGACATGCAATTGGACCATATAAAAAGAAAAAAGGAAAAAAAGGCAAAAAGAAGAAAAAATGAAAAAACAATTATCTAGAATTTTCTTTTTGTGAAAATTTGCTTTTTTTTTCTATTTTGAATAATAAATAACATTTGATTCACATAAAATATGTTCATTAAAAATGAGCTATTTAATATTCATAAATTTTAGCGTTTCCGGGTAAAGAAAAATGAAGTCATTTGTTGACAATACTTTTAAGGGTACTCAAATATAAATAGGAGAAAAAAAATTAGAAGACAAATAGTAATAAAAAAATTAAAAAAAAATTTTTAATGTCAGTTATGAACTATAATCAATATTAATAAAGCTTCTTTTTTTGTTTTTGTTTTAAATACATCATTGGTGTCATTGTATATAATGTTTATCAATAAGAATTTATGTTTTTAGTAGGTTTTTTTCAATTGAAAGAAAAGAAAAAAGTTTCTTTATCAATGTTTATCTAAGAAAACTTAATGTATACAGATATGAGTCTAATTAATTATGAAGATAGTATCAAATGCATGTGAATATTTTATGTGTATTTATTTGCATCATTTTGTTTCATAGGTAGATGTCATCAAAATGTCAGTAGTATTCATCAAAAATAAGATAGAAAATATTGATGAAGAAGAGAAAAAAAGAAGTTCTTTGATACTTATCCTAAGAATAATAAATGAGAAAACACCTAAAGTAAGTTTTTATTATATGAAACATTTTTTTCTATTCTACTTCTAATTACATAACATATTCTTGTGTTTTTTTCTATGCCTACTCATATAAAAAAAATATTTTATTATGGAAGTCAGAAATAATATTTGTGTCAAACGGAAATGTTTTTCATGGCAGATGGTTTAACAATATTGACTATAGAGTTCAAAGTACTGTTTCACAGTTATAGATTAAACACCTGCTTTCTACATAGCATACCAGTTTTTAGATATGTTAATGAACAAATGAATATATTGCAGTATCAGATACGTGATTTAAACATTAATGAATTCAGTATATTTTTCTTTTTTTTTAAATACTATTTCAGATTACAGAAAAATGAGCACACAATGATCAAATGTCACACCTATAGGGTTGTAAATAATGCCGACGAAGACGAGGAAGCTTTCTTTGCACAATAAAATATTTTACTCCATTTTTTTCTCTATTGTTCTCTGAGTTAGTTGCCCGGATAAACGGTATCATTCAAGTCAGACCTAGTTTTATTCGTTTCTTTTTATTTTTCTCCTTTTTATAATTATGTGTTCCATGTCTGCAGTTGATTTACTTTCGGAGAAACTTTTTAAATTAAAAACATATTCCCTATTATATTGTTTGACTTTCTAACAACTTTTTTTCTTAATCATTTTTCATTTCTTCTCCTTGAAAATAAAAATAGTTTTTTGATGCCTCGAATAAGTATTATTTTTTTTCTTTTTCATCAATATGTTTTCCTAACCTATCATTAGTATATCGCTTTCTTTTAGTTATTATATAAATCTTTCTTAAGAAAAATTAATGAATAAGTATATTAAAAATAGTGCAAATTTGTTTTTCTTTTTACAGCATTCTTTTTTGCAAATAATCCCCTGAGGAAATGACTTTTGACAGCGAGACTTCATAAAAAATATAGCATTCATATAGATGTAAAGAACCTATTACAATTAAAGCGTAATATGACACTCATATGGGAAAGAAAAAAATATGTCAAAAAGTACTTCTTTTGAGAGGCACTTTTCAATAAACTACTAGATTATTCAATAAAAGTAAGAATAACCATGTTGATTAAAGAAATTAGTGTTGATTAAAAATGAAAATTATACTTCAATAAAGAAATATGTGATTTAATAATATTAGTTCATCACAAAGCATTGCATTTCAAACTAGACAAACGTTAATATTGCTCTAGATTTTTTTTCTTTACTACAATGGGTAAATCGCTGGTTAACCTATAATATATTTTAATACAAAAATTATCTTTCATATGTGTAGTTTAACTATGATTCAGTTTTCTTTACATAAAAGTTAAAATCCTTGTTTTGAACAACACATTAATATCATATATTTGTTTCTTTTTCATTTAGATATTCTTCATTAAGTAATTTAAAATGGGCGATTCTGATATGTTAAATTCATGTTCACGCTTTGAACCACCATTCTATTTATCTGCAATGTGTCGACAGAGATCAACGAATAATACAGAGGAGTGTAAAGATTTCGTAACGTTGATATTTTTTTTAAAGGCTGATTGTTATATAAGTCGAATATTTTATCCAGTAACTATATTCTTAATTGTGATTGGTACAATACTTAATTTATTTTCTTTATATTGTTTTCTTAAAATGAATAAACGTAATTCTCAAAATGTTTATTTATCGGTATTATCATTAGGTGATACAATTAATCTACATATTAATTTTACTCTACCAATATTAAGACAAATTGGAACATTTGATGATTATTTTCGTAATTCAAATATTTTATGTCGTTTAACGGGTGTATTCACAGAATTTTTTTTAATATTTCCAACATGGATTATTGTTTTATTAACAATGGAACGTTTAATTTGTATATCATGGCCATTAAAACGTCGTCCATCTTATACACAAATACGAGCAAAAATATCTATAATTATATTAGCAATAATTGTCATATTATTAAGTATATATCGTTTATTTGATTTAAAAGGTATTGATCAAGTTAGTGTATTTTCTGTTGTTGCATGTAATGGTACACATAAATCAATTGATTTTATGAGAGATCTTAATTTAATGATATGGGCTATAGTACCTGAATGTTTTACATTAATAATGAGTTTAATTATAATATATCAAATAAAATTAGCTACACAAAAATTTCAACCAAATCCTTCTAAAGCTCGTCAATCACAATATAATCAAGCAACAAAAACAGTTTTACTTATATCAATTTTATTTCTTTGTTTTCATACACCAACTGGTATATATTTGATATTCTATATGATAAATATTTAAATTTTTATTTTTGTTTCTAGGTATAATGATTGCTCTAGATTTAATTTATGGACATAATGAAAAAACATTGGGTATAATGATAATTCTTGTTTCAAGAAAATTGACTATTATTCTTTATGAAATAAGTTTATGTTGTAAATTTTTTATTTATAATCAAACATTTCGAAATTTTAAGTAAGTTTTTCATTGATTTATCGATTTCTATAAATTTTTTTTTAGCATTGTTTATATTAAAATATCTATTGAATTAATTATTGTTTTGTTTTGATTTTCGTAGAGGAATTTTACATACATCAATTTTTCGTTTTACTCGTCGAACAAATTCAGCTAAATTAGGTCGACCTGCTCTTGAAAATTCACGTGATTGTCCACAACATCGAACAATTCATTTCGGTCCAAAAAAACAATCAATTACTTCTCCTGGAAGTCAAACTGATTCATTGTTAAAAAGTGTTGAAGAACATCATAATATCGTTAAAAATCATACTCAACGAACACGATCAACAAGTCTATCAAGAATAAATCGAGAACATCAAACAATGGCTGTTCATATGAATAAAGCAACCGAATCTATACAAGTATCATCAACACGAACACCTGAGTTGTTAAGATATTCAAAAGAAAAACGACAACCATTATATCTTACAGGACATCAAATAACGTTATGAAAAAAAATAATTAACTTAAATGTTTAAAGATATTGATTGTTGTTTCTGTTTTTTTTTGTTGTTGTTGTTGTCGTTGTTATAGTCTCAATAATTTATCAGATCAGTATTTAGTAACTTATTTCGTTTTTTATATTAGTTATCAATATTTCAAAATAATAAATTATTACATGTTATGTTGTTCTTGTTTGTTTTAGGTTTATAATTAATGTTATGAATTTGAATTTATTTATTCGGTTGAGTATGTTCATGTATATTTATAGAATAGTTCCTGATTTTGATTAATGATATTGATATAATGCTTCAATTTCCTCTTTCCTGATCAAAATGCTCAAATATGAACATAAATAAACCATTTTTTTTTTAGTTCATTTTATAAACTATACACAACCTGAGGCTAAGTAAATCGAATTGATTGTCTGAACAATATAAGAATAAAACCTCATATGTATATAGTTGCCAGAATAAATAACCTTCAACAAGCATGCACGGATTTCAATTGAATCTGTCCTTCTACTTGAACAGGTTTCTTCTTTACTTTCTTACTCACTCTCTCTGTCTCTTGCACTTTCATACTCAGTATTATTTACGAATTGGCAATAGTAGTAGTCACCATCATTATAGTTTGTTGTTTATCAGGTGAGTCATTTTGATTTTTTGATAAATTTGTTCGTTGTCGAGTATATTGATGATCTAATTGATGTTGTCGTTGATAAGGTTGATTTGGCGTTGTTGTATGTAATATACGAACTTGTTCACGAGAATGATTAACATAATTAAGAAAATTTTCTGGATTTCGTATATCGTTTTTAAATGTTGATGATATATTTGATGTTGTTGAATTCTTTTTCTCACCTAATACACGTCGTAAAACTATATCATCATTTTGTGGACGTTTTATACGTGCAGAAAAATTTTGTTGTTTTAAATTACGTTGACGTTCAATTTGTTTTATTGATTGACGAATATAATCATATACTGTACGATATTGATAATGATATTTTCGTTGTGATGAATTAGATGTATTATATGATGATGAACTAGCAGTTTTTAAACGAGGTAATTGTTGTTGTTGTTGTGAATGTTGTGAATGTTGACTACGTGGTGATGGTGATCGTGAAGTAGATATATGAGAACGATAATCACTATTATTTGTAGCAGATTTTTCTCGTTTTGGTTCTTCCATATGTGTATTACGATATACAACATCAGGTGCTGGTGCTATTTGTGCTATTTTATCAGAATGTCGTTGCCAACCAGAAGGTGATATTGATGAATCACGACTATCAGAATTATTAACATGTACACGAAAAGTAGGTGCTGTTGCTAGACGTTTTTTTTGTTGACGTGAACGAAGTTCGACAGAAGGATTCGAACGTAGTTGTTGATCTTTAGTTGGACTATTATTATGTGGTAATTTTAATAAAAGTACACTAGGAGGTGGGGTATGTTTTTTACGAAAATATAATGTTAAATCGATATCCGTAGCAGCCATTATTTGTATTTGCGTTATTCGTCGTTTTATACGTTAGAGAACAGTGAACTGATGTATGCTCACATTTCTTTTTTCTGTAACTAGACACTTGAATGACAAGTGTTCTACATAATAGTTACAATTACAGAACCACGTTAATTCCATTTAAAAAAAAAAGTTTTTTTTATGTTCGATAGTGTTATTATTTCATTCTATCCTATCGCATACACACATTTTCTTTGTCTGTTTCGATTGACTCGAGGTGCCCCCTTTCAGATTCTTCTTTCTTGTTCTTCAATTTTCTTCTTTTATAATGATGATCGTCGTCATACATTTTTTAATTGTATATCCAAAATTGTAGTAATAACTTTTTTAAATGTAAATTTTCTATGCATCAATAAATTGTTAAAGTAAAAAAAGAAAAATGAATAAACTATGCATGAATTTTGTTTTTGGCTTTTTGTTCAAATCTTTTTACTCATGTTCATTAAATGGATGAATACAGATTTAGGCACTTCTGCAGATTGACGATACCCTCGAAACTAATTGGTCAAACTGGCAAGGCACATTAAAGAGTGTGAATGCCGCTGTTCTGTAGATGTACTTAGATTTAACTTCATGATGATTCAATAAAGATTTTTGATTTATGAGAATTATATGTCATCTTATTAAAAGATAAGAATTGAGATTTAAGGCACTTCAATTCCTTTTTTTGTCTTATTGAATTTCAATCAACTCGAAGTAACCAACAATTTTCTTTTTTTTTTTGTGCTTTCACTCTTGACATCAGATTCAAGAACAAAGATTACTTTTCATGGTCGTCGATCCTCAAGAGTAAATAAATATCCTTTTGTTCGATTGACCAAGGATTTGATCTTGTTCTAAGGGTGAAAAAGAAAAAAAAAATTATAACACGTTTCCTTTTCGAAAAAAAAAGAAAGAAAAAAGATGAATGAAAAAAAAAGTTCTCATTTCCTGTTTCTGTTTATATTTTGCAACTATCATCATTGATATGGTTCGTAGTCATCATTTTTTATTTTCTTCTTCTTGCCTTATGTCAACAATATACACTAACACAATAGCAAGGTGAGAATAGACTAGAGCAAGAAAAGAAGAAGAAGAAGAAAAAAGAATAAACGAGAATCGAGTGTTGTCACTACAGCTCTGATCTCAATACAATCCCTAACTCATTCATTTAAGTTTTTAATGCTTATAGAAAAAGAAAAAACAACGTTGAAAAGTAATCATCATCGCTTGTGATCGTTAAAGTTACGAAAAAAAACAGCATCAAAACATTTGCCTATCCGTTTTCGTCTACTGCATTATAATATTTCAAATGTTGATTTAAATAATCGTGCGTTTGTTTTTTCGTCTGTTATTCTTAAATTTTTGTCACCAGGTAAGTTTATATATAGTTTGTTTTTTTGTTACTTATCATAAGTCGTTTTTTTTTTCAAATAATCAGCTCATACATGCCAACATCAAGTCAATCTAAAATTCTTTCTGTTATTGATTATCAACTGATCCAACAACAAGCTACTGGTCAAGATGAAATAACAAAACCAACTGTTCATATTACTAGTAGTAAAATTTCAGGAAATGAATCAAAACGACGTTCTCAAAAAGATGATCCTCGTTCATCAATAGAGAATAAAAATAATGAAGATAATCATTCTCCATCACCTACTAATATAACTGATCGACGACTAAGTTCCAGCAAAAATACCGATGGTAAGATTTATATATAGTTAAAATTTTTTCGAATCATTATTTTCAAAAAAAAAAAAACAAACAAACAACAAATTCTAATTTTTTCCAGCAAGGTTAAGAAATGTTCGGAGATATCAGAGGCATTACAGATGTATGCATCATGATCAGCATCATCCTTCTATTCGTAAGGGTATGGTTATCATACTTGCTCACTATGCTTAAACTTTTCTTATCGTATATCATAATCGCTAAAAAAAGAATAGATTTGAACATAATTTAACTATATAATTTCTTTTATATTAGGTTTACAATCAGCACGAACATCTCAACGTAGTGATATATTACATGTACCTGTAATAAATCTTAATGATATAGCACATAATCAACCACGAATACCATCAAGTTCTACTAATGTAAATGATAATCGACAAAGCCGAACAGTTAATAAAAATGAACGAACAAAACCTTCAGTAGTTGATTCAACAATACAATCATTTCAATATCGTCGAAATTCATTAAATTCAGACAATGATGATCAAATTGAAAGTGAACATAAATCAAAACAAATTAAAAAATATCCAACACCAATGAGTGCTGAAGAAAATACATCATCACCATCGGATGTTGATTATGGTGATGATGATGATAATAATTTAAAACGTGAACGTCGACCAAGTTTATTAAATGACAATGCTCGTCGTTTACTTATTTTGGGTACAATACGTCCATCAAAAACTTTTTATAAAAATTTATCTGATGCTGATGCTGATCATCTTATGGAATATTTTCGTCGAATGAAAACTACACATCAACGAATGACATCAGAAGAAATACATCAAGAATTAACAACTAAATTTGTTGAATATAAACCAAAGATTTGTAAGTTTTTTAAAAAATTCAATTTTTTCAGTGATAACAAATTTTAATGAAATTTTGTAAAAAGATTTTTTTATATATTTTTAGTTTTTGATTCAGCTACTGTAACAAAAAGTCAAGTAACACATATTGAAAAAATCATTGAAGAATATGCTGATACAATTCGAACACATAAAGCTGAATTTGTTAAACTTGAAAATCCAATGCGTTTTGTTATAAAACAAGTTGATAATAATAAACCCTTAATAACAATACCACGTGAATATAATGATTGTTTTATAACACTTGTTACTCGATCAGATCCATTGCGTAAATCAAATTTAGTTACTGAACTTATTAAAGATAAACTTTTAGAAGATGTCAAAGCTAATTCATTAGATATCAGGTCATATGATATAATAGGCGCTTAAAAAGAAAAAGAAAAATAACTTTCTCATTTTCATTTTAGTTATTTTCCCGGTGGTGTTAATTATGATGTACCACGTGATGAAATTGATGAAAATGGTCAAATGAATGTAGAAACATATCAAAAATTAAAAAAACGTTTAAATAATCGTCAAGTTTGGTATTTTAATGGACCACCAGAAAAAAAACCCAATGCTTTATTGGCTATTCTTCCACCAGATATAACAATTAATATTGATCATCAACGTTTATATGATACTCTTGTTGAACGTTTAAAAACTTTATCAACACAAGAAAATTCTAATCGTGAACAACAAATACTATCAATTCAATTTGTTCCATTAAATTGTATATTAAATTCAAATGACATATCAAATCAATATATTGTTGAATGTAATACAATTGAAACAAAACAAAAATTAATGGAGAAACCATTAAAAATTGTTTTAAATAAACAATCAATTATTATTGAATTACATTCCTATGATGAAAATATTCATAGAGAATATGAAAAATTTATTAAATCAGAAAAATATCGTGAATTAATTAAAAATCATGATGTAGCTGTTAAACGAAAATCAAAAACAAAGTAGCGAACGTAACATCATTTCTTTTGTGTTTTTCTTTTTAAAATAATAATAATAAATATATACATGATGCAGAAAATAATAGTATGTGTTATCATCAAATGAAAGAAACTAGACTGAAGGCAGGTACCTAATGGAAGGTGAAAGCTGACTCTTTCAAACTATGGCTCTCTTTAAATACGGTTAAAACGTATTATATGCTATCAATAGATAAGTCTATTTAAATTTGATGGTTTAAGGCCCCCCCCCCCCCTCAGAAAAGTCGATTTTCGTCAAAAAAATCATTTTTGAGATAGACATATGAGCATGTTGCCTGATTTGTCTAATGTATGAATTCATAAAAATAGTTTTGATTTTCGAAGGTTTTTTGGAGTTTTATGAATGATCTTTGGAACCACTATCCATTCCAAAATACAAGACCATCGTTTGCTTTTTGAATAACTTTTGATAGGAACAAGATAGAGAGCTGCGGTTTTCACCGTTGCAAAGAGAAGGCCTAGGCGCATAAACACGTGCTGAAATTTGATTGGTCAGCGATAAAGCAATCAGATTAATTGTTGATGAACATTTTGAAAACGATTTTCTGGAGCCATTTTTCAGTTGTCCTTGATTGTTAATGTGATCGTTCGATAGGAAATGTTGTTCTCTTTCGATCTGCGCAAGGCCAACATTGCTAGCTTGTTCCATTCAAGAGTTATGAGGGTTTTCCTGAGACTCCTAAAGTCAGCCCATCGATCTAGAATCGCCCTGAAAAGTATCTAGGTAGGGGTAATTCATCATGCTGAGTTGACTGGTGAAATTTGTTTTTCGGCTCGAAATGATCTGACTCTATTATCTCAATAATACCAAAATTTTCACAATCTGGCGGTATATAGCGTAATGAGTCGACATTTCAGGAATATTGAGACAACAGTGCCAAGTGATTTCGGGTCTAAAGACAAATACCACCATTCAACTCAGCATGCTAAATTACTGCTGCTAAGATGCTTTTTCTGAGTGATTTTTGGTCGATAGGTTAAAAAAATAGGGAGTCTCAGGAAAATCCTTATAACTCTTGAACGGAGCGTGTGGGTGTAAATCTTCCCGTGTTGATCATCCACATCCATATCCACACCCACACCAACATCCATGCCCATACCCATGCTCACACTCATACCCATACACAATCTAATGTACATCGATGAGTGCTTCGACTGACATGTAATAAATTTATGCTTCATCTCAATTTTAAGTTATGATAGCAAGACTATATATAAAAAAAACTTCTTTTGCGTTTTTCTCAAAGTTGTTCTTTTCGGTAATGATCGAACTGCGAACAAAGTTTTTTTCAATATACTTCAATCTAGAGAGCTGTATTTTTTTTTCATCGATAGATACATGCATAGTCTTTGAGATGACGGAAAGGAATTTTCTAATTGGTCGTCAATGATAGAGAAACCGTGGCTTTTCCAGAAAACCATGCCTAGGATTTTCAGATTTTTGAGATTGCGGTGATCTTAAAAATGCAACAAGGTAAAAATTAAAAGAATCCTTTCTCTCATCCCAAGCAGTAATGAGTTCTCTTTCAAATAAAAGCAACCGGAACTCTGCAGCTAGAAGTATATTAGAGAAAAATTTGTATGCGTAAAAGCTCTGTTTTACAGCTTGGTCCCTGAAAATCTCCTGAACGTCAAGGTATAGAGGCGTGAAAGTTTTTTTACTAATGTACTTTCATGAGCCCAACATCTATGCAAAGTTTCATCAATATCTCATGCGCCCTGTCGAAGTTAGGATTTTGTGGGGGGGGGGGGGGGGGGGGGGCCTTAAATAAATCTCTATAGCTCCTTTTATAATATTTTCTTTTTGTCATCTTAGATCAAGAAATATGGGTTGTTTTTAGTCGGAAAACTCGGAAGGATGGTAAGAACTTGGAAGCTAATGAACGGATCCAGCAACTGACTCTTCTTGATTATGATCGGAAACGGCATATTTTCGATGGAAACCTGCCGGAAACTCATGGATCCGCGTAGCAGAATCATTGACTTGAGTTATGAAAGGCAGAGAAATATACGAGTGATCTTTGAGTAATCCTTATTTTTTTTTAGCACATAACTTATTAATTTTAGATTCTGATAAAAACTAGTTTAATAACAAAAATGGTTCTACAATTCGATTCGTAGAAAATAATATTTCTGAATGATTAATTCTTCTGGAATATGTTGTTTTCTAGAGCTAAGGAAAAATAATCGCATTTTGACAGATCAGTTAGGAAATCATGTTTTATTCGTTTCCGATTCGATATAAATAGATGCATGAAAACCGAATAAACAATACAGAAGAGTGGATCAATCGTGTAGTATGAAACCAATGGACATTTGAATAGGATAATATAACTGATGTTCGTGTCAAATGTTAAAGATATAAAACTCTAAAATGACCAGATAAGCTGGAGCATTGAACAAAGTACAAAACTTGGATTTTATTAAGAGAAAAAGAACTCATGGAGACATTGATATCGTTTGAAATCTCATGTTAGAATAAACATACTATGTTCTAGAGTTTTTTTTAGCTATTTTCCAAATTTTAATAGACTATAAATTTTGGTATTCATAAATATCGTTCATTCATCTTGGTTATAATGTTTGGAATCTATCCGTGACCGAATGTAGCCTGCAAAACATGAAGATCATTACTCCTCCCCATACTAAACAGAAGCGAAAAAAAATGTCTATATCAATGAATCTGGATGCTTTACCTTAAATAAAACTTTTTTTGTTATATTACTCTCAAATACATCGCCTGAAAACAGTGAACTCGATCCACATATCGCTAGATTTTACGTTCCTAGATTAAGTTTCCTCGACTATTGAAAGAGATTAAGCTTAAAAAATAAAGATCCAAAACAATAGAAAACTTAACTTGAACTAAAGAACCTTTTCGTTTTTGTTATCATGCCTAAGACATTGTGTTTTTATCTAATATTAATTCAATTAAACATAATTTTAGTTATCAATCACAGAATGTAGATATTTCCGATTTTTTCTTGTGTAAAATAACATCAATGATATATCGGTTCAGTCTTAGTAGTCTATTAAAATTTAGCAAAAAAGCTATAAAGATTTCGTCTTGTGATTCGAGTCGAGTATACAATAGCGCATTATTTAAGAAAACAAGATCAACTTTTTATCATAGAATTACATGTAAAACAAGAAATGTTGAAAAACTTATGTTACATCCAATATTATTATTTGTGATCGACATTTTTTTCTTGTTAACATATTCAATTACTGAACTAAGAATTAAAAATCAAAAGAAAAAGAATGATTAGTTTTTATTAACATAGAAAAAATTTATCTATTTCTCTATTGTCTTTATCAATAATCGATCAACTTGAACTTTAATTATCACGCCAATATTCATATCCTCCATGTTGTTTAATAACCATTTGAATAATAGATTCATGTGATGCATGTACATTATAATGACGATCAAGTCGAACCCATTTTACGTTTGTTGCATCATCGCCTATAAAAGAAAAAGACAAGTTTCAAAAGAAAAAACGCGCATCAATTTTCTAAATCTTATTTTGATTGTATTATTACATGAATAAAATGTTTTCTTCAAACATTTCTATTATGATTGATTTCGATATACAAATAATCAACTATCTTTAATAGATTTTATTTTCATATTTTTCGAAAACGTCTAAATATAATGATTGGATTAAAAAGAAAATGAACAAAAAGTTGGTAAAAAATATATCAAAATTTAATCCATCAAAAAATTTATCTCGAATAAAATCTCTTATTAAACCACCACCACCACGTACATCATGGGAACTTTTACTCGATGATTACTTAAAAGATCCTAATTTTAAATCAAATTTAACACCTAAATTATCACCGAATAATTCTCCATCATATAAACAATCAACACTTCCTTTATCTCAGCCTGTTTCATCTATTCCTTTTCAACAAACATTTATTCCATCATCTTATTATCAATATCCATTATATTCATCTTATATTCCATATCAAACAAAATCTTGTCTTCCTCCACGTCGTTATCAAATGAGTCTTGATGAACTTGTTTATTTAATTAGTCAAGTTGGTCGATCTGATTTATATCGTGAAATGGTACAATATATCAAAGCACAACAATTATCAACATCATCAAATATATCTTCTTCTCATATTAATAATAGATCATCAAATATGAATGCTAATTCAAAACGAACAACAACAGACAAATTTTTATTGAATAATATGAAGAAGAAACACTGTCATATTTCTTCTCAAGTTCAAGATGAATTAATTAAAAAAGTGAATCGATTAAAAATCAAATAATTACCTGCTTCTAATTCCAAATCTTTTGTTAATTCACCTGTTTCATCATGCACATTTATTGCTTCAGTTTCTGTCCAAGCATTATCTATAATAAACGAAGAGAATAAACTTTTCTCTTACTTCAATTCAATTTTATGAAACACAATCTAAAAGAAGGGCTGAAGCATAAGAGTAAAAGTTTGGACACTGCCTCTTTCTCACAGACTGTGACAGATACTAGGCAGAGACCATCACAGACCGTATATCAATAACATCTCGTTATAATATATGCACTACTTCCTGATTGTATTTCTAGAGGATTAGGTAAACGGATGATGAAGAAATGTTTCCCAAAATAAATAGAATAAAACAGTCTTCCAATAGTTAGCGGAGACAGCTGCATCATGTTTCATATTATAATTCTGTAGGAATTGTACCAATAGCTTTTTACCTGTATTTCTAGGATCATCAACATAACCTTTGTATACCTATTTAAAAGTAATAAATTCATATAGATTATTTTAAATAATAAAATTTGTTCTTACTGAATTAGCTTTTTTAAATAATTTATCAACCTGTTTGATAACATCAGGATTTGAATTCAAAGCTTCTTCAATAAATTCTCGTTTGACTGCTGCTAATGCATGTTCACTAAACAAAGAGTTATTAGTCAAATATATGAGATACATAATAAATCTTTACCCTGGATCAATCATACCACCAGGTAAAGCTAAACGACCATTATCTTTTCGATTAATGAGTATAATTTCTAAAACTTTTTGTGTACTATCACGTTGATGTTTTGACCAACGTGTTACAAGCGAATCACCAGCATGATTTGGTCCCCATCGACCAAGTAAACCACGACCTGATACTATAAATAATGTTTGTTGTGTAATTTAAATTCGAAATATATAAATTTCGATGCATACTTCCCATACGACCTTGAGGATTTTTCGGTCGATTTGTATCTTCATCAATTTTATACACACCCATAAAACTTCTTCGATCAATTTGTCCATCAAGTTCATTATAATGTTTAATCTTTTTTCTATAAAAATAAATTTATAGAGAAGATGTCATAATGTTTTAACGTTCTTACGTATTAACATCATCAGCCCATGGTGGATTTTTTAAAACTTTTTGTGCTGTATATTCAACTGGTTTATAATCAGGCCAATTGACACTCCAAGGAACTTTTTCATCGGGTACAATTGTTCTCTGATTAATAATAAATTTAATGAAAATTCATGTTTTAGTGTAATAAAATCTTACATAAACATCTGTAGTGCCAGGGTAGGGTGACAAACGATCTTTCATATGCAGATTAGCCATTGTTATTGATTGAATTAGATATGAAGCTAAGTGTCGAAAAATTAAAGGATTATATTGCTGTCGATGCATCCACAAAATACTCATTATAATTGGTATAAGAAATATAAATTTAGACGGCAGTTTGAGATGTTTATTTTTCTAGAAAATAAATGATCAAATCAATATTCAGTATTGTTTTTCTATGTTAACTGAAGGAACGATAAAAAAAATTTGCTAATATAAAAAAAAACAAATTACAAAGTACTTTTTCGACAACAATTAAGTGACAAATGAAGATTATAATAATAATTATTTTCTTTTATTTCTACATGTGCAAAGAATCTTAAAGACAAATGCAATTTACGTAGTTACTTTTTTCTTCCCCGGATTTCCATATGTTCATATCAGAATTAATCTCACAATTTATCACGGAACCTCTTCGGTACACCCTACTTTCATCCAAAAACAATGCCGAAAAATATTACTATAAAAATATCGGAAAGGAAAATGTCGAATGACAAAAATACCGACTAGTAAATAGATCGAAAGGTAAAAACGATGTCTGGATTGAATATCGAAACTATACGAACTACTATTTTGTTGTAAACAACTGTGAGATATTTTTATTTTATTTGAAGAATTAATGAATAAAAAAAAGCTTTTTGAAATAAGTCAATAGTTCAAAAAAAAAACAAAAGATTTGGATGAATAAATTCGCTAAAGTTACAACTTTCAACTCTGTTTGTGGTATAGGTGTCGGTGTGGATGTAGGTGTGGGTGTGTGGTGTGTATGGATATCGGCGTTTCTGAATCTAATACGTTTATCGCACGTCCACACCTGTACCCTGATCTAATATACCAATCAGAATAGTTGCTCGATGAATCGTTTCGCATCGATCGGCTCACGGTGTCATCTTTGTTTCTAATATTAAGCATACATCTCATATTTCATTTCAGTAACTTTAAACGTCAGAAATCTTATGAATGCATATGTTGCGATATATTTATTGTTCGATATTTCAGTATTTCGACATCGCTATTTTTCAATATTTTTACATTCGATATTTTCATATTCGACATTTCTAGTCCTCGAGATTTTTAATTTCGACATTTTTATTTTCGATGAAAGTAGGGGGACTCACCTCTTCAGATATTTCATTCCGCGATATCAATAATTTTTGATCCATGAATGCTACATAGTATTCTAAGAAAAATTCTAAAACGATTTCGGTTCCTATTTGAGATTTGGCTATGCTATCGAATTTTTAATATGTCTATTATTCTAGAGACCTCTGTTCAACCACAGATTTTTGGACAAATCGTATGTTTAAATTTTCATCTGAAACTTTGCACATATAGAAAACTCGACTAGACTAACTTCCATAAAAGAATTCAGAGGTTGTAAGCAAAGTCTCTTTGACATACGAGGCTTTCAGAAAATGCATGTTATATACACTTTGCATGGAAAAGGGTCTGTATCCTGAAAGTTCCATATTTCGAAGTGACTTTGTTCAAAACTTCTGAATTTATTATGAAAGTTAGTCTAGTTGAGGTCTCTATGCGTTAAGTTTCAGATCGAAATTCGAAAATCAAAGATTTTTTCAAAAATCTGGGAGTCGTACAGTTGATTCTAGAAAATAGACGTATTAGAAATTCAATACATTAGTCAATTCTCAATAGAAATCCAAATCATTTTAGGGTTTTTATTAGAATACCATGTGATATGCACAGAGTGTTCCAAAAGTCAGCCCGCGAGATAAGACTACGATAACTTTGCAATGATTCAAGCGATTCACATGAGATTTTAATCCTTTCATAGAATACTCTCGGAAGTTTTACTTCATATGATTTTACTCATAATTATTGCTTCAAATAATCGACGTCAACATTAAGGTACGAAACTATTCGTTTCAAAACATTTGTAAAAAATCGGTACATAAAGCTTGTTTCGACATCGTCGTAATATATAAGAATCGATGATAAAATCACAATGATCTTGGAACATGTGTTATGCATTGACTTTCTATATATGTTTCGAAACATATGATTTCATGCTCTAACGTAGATGCTAATCATTTGAAACAATAGTTATAGGTGAAATCATATGAAATAAAACTTCCAAGAATATCTTATAAAATATGATGAAAAGCTCATATGAATCGCTTGAGTCGTTGAAGAGCTATTGCAGTTTTATTTGACGGTTGACTTTTGCAGCAACTTGTATAGGCAAAAAATCATTGAAGTCAGAAGGAGGCATCTGAAAAGGTTCATTCGTTAGTTCACAGAAAAAAAAATATTTATCATCAATTGAATTTTTTATTTGAAAGTTATTTTATCACAAAACAAATAACCTTTCAAATAAAAATGTCAATCAGTTGATATTATTATGCAAGAATTAGTTCAAGAGTTTTGGCAGAATTCGAAAAATTTTTCTTCAGAACTTTTAACACTAGTCTATCTAAAAGCTAGACAGACTAGTAAAAAGTTGTACAACTAATACATTATTAAGAAAAATACCAAAGAATAAATTAATGGTTTTTTTTTTCAGATAATTTGTTTTTTTTTTCAATACTATCATATTATTAAAAATCTTCAGATAACTCTATAAACTAATCAAACAATAATAATTCAAATGAAATAAAGATGGGTAGAATCTTTTTATTACCTATAAGTGAAACAGAAAAAGGAGCATCATGTCCGTTTCAGTATGAAAGCACAAAAAGATCAGTTATGGGGACAAGAATAACAGAATACAAAAAAAACAAAAAACAATGAGAATAATATCTCAAACTATACTAACAACATCATCACTGAATGGCCAATTAGCCTAAAAAGCAACAATCACACGCACACACACACACTAATGTTCTTTTTGTTTGTTATTATTTTTGTTAAATCATTTCAATGATGAAAATGTTGAAGTGGTTTTAGAAGGCGTATAAAAATCTCGACAACGTTCATAAAATGCCTCAAAAAAAAAACAACAATCAAAATAGATAATCGAGAAAATTATATTTTTTTTTGTTTAATTTACTTTCTCAGTATTTGTTCGAACAATTTCTTCAACATTATGTTCATTTTGTAATTGTCGTCGTTGAAATATTAATGTTTTACGATAACTATCATTCGAATCATTTTGTTCTATTAAAACATTTGTACGTGATATACAAGAAGAAATTAATTCATTACGATATGTTGCACGTGACGCAATCTAAATATTAAAACGAAATTTAAAGAAAAGATTTTAAAAAACAAAAAGAAACTCAAAATACATCATCCCCAAGTTTTTGACATTGTTTTTCTGCGTCAGAACCTTGCGAACGAAATGTAGCTGTAAGAACCGTTGTATTAAGTGTATTCATAATTAAATCATCTAATTTTCTTAAATCTTTTAAATGATTTTGAAATTGAAGATAATCATCACAAATACGAAGATCTTTGGTCATTTCTGATATGTTCATTACTATCGATTATTTCGTAGAAGGTTCACAACAAAATGAAATCAAAGAGGTATATAGTAAGATTGTATGTTAGAATATTATTCTAGCGCTACAATCAATTTCATAATACTTCGATTTGTTAAATGATGATATATTTTGGATGGTTTATGGAGAGTTCCAATCGAAAAATAGACTGAATTATATAACTAAATTTTGTTGATTTTGAGCAAAAAAAAAATATTTTAGGAAAGAGAAACCAGATTTCAAATGCTATATTGTATTGTAATAATAACAACAGAACATTTGTTTAAGTTGATGTACTTCGATTCTATATTGCATTTATATTAAAAAAGCAACAATTCTATGCAAAATAGCAAAAAAGAAAATAAAGATTTTCGTTGGGTTAGAGTCAATATTACAAAGCAGCTATGGCATCAGTCAACATGTTATATAGCAGATGTCTATTTTTACTACATCAAAAAACGAATGATTTAAACTATTTGAAAGGATATTTCATGAAAATTAAGAATAAAAATTTCAACAGGATGCGGATCTCGATGAATAAATAGTTAAGTAACAAAATATAATTTAGCAGTATTTATAGCAAAGAACATAAATTATATTCAGACCATGTCAATTAACTAAATAATGACGAATGATTAATTTGGTATGATATTAATAATTTTTTAATAAATATTTTAATATTTCAATCAAATAACACAAAAGAAAAGCGCAGAAAAAGAAGTATTGGAAGGTACCTTTAAAACTGCTGTTTACCTACTTGATTTCGTTTTATTAGCGTATTATCCACATCAATCAGTGTGCAAATGAGGGTAAAAGTATACTTAAACTGCAGTTATGCCTCATATTATTCTCTTTTCCCTCATACTTCATCTGAAATGGGATAAATTTTCTTGAATTTTCGAACATTTCATAACGAGTAAAATATTCTTTTTTATGCTCATCTCGATATGTTCTTCGTTCGATGTTGTGTTGTCAATAATACATCAGAAAATAGCTAATGTGTCTAATAATCATCTATATGAATAAAATTTTTCTATTGATGATATAGAAAAGATATATTCTTCTTTCATAGAACGATATCTTAATATTCCTTTTGATTGATGGAATTTGGAAAATGAAAAAGCTTGTCTTGGAGGATTCTAACATAGACATTAGCTAGGTTAAAACCATCCATTATTATCCATATTTATGTCTATAATGTAAATCATTATGCAAAATAGATAAGAATGTTCTTTCGGAAGTTTTACAGATGGAGCTCATTTGACACGGCGTGATCAGAATCTTTTTAAGAAATCCAATGTAAAATTAAAGATCAATTGAAGATCATGAAAGTACCTATATTACGTTGACACTATTGACTTAAATATATACATCGATGAGCAACAAATTTTACATTAAGAAGCAAACGCTAATTATGTCAACAAAATAATGAAAAAACCGTATTTTAATAATATCAATTCATTACATTTGGTTGTTTATGACAATTACATAACAACTTAGTTTTAATAGATAAAAGATAACAATGTTTATTAATTATTTAATAAAGTACATAATGAATGAAACAATGAATATATACTCGTCTAGTAAAACCAATTGATCCATAATATATATAAATATATTTCATAATTGAATAATTTTTTTTTTGAAGCTATTTTTATCTAATATAGCAGAAAAATCCTTTTTATCTTGATAAATCCATTTATATCTTAAAAAATTATCACTATTTTATCTAGTTATGTACTTCAATAACATCATGTTAATTTTACATATTATCTATACAAAAAACACTGCAGAAGAAATCTATTGATCTATACATATTGTTTATTTTTGAATATAGTCAATCTAACATAGAATGATAATATATGTTTTCTCTATCGAATAACTGGAAATTAAAAGAACACAAATAAGAATGGTTTTAGATGATTAAACATTATTAATAGAAATTTATAAAAATTACTTGTATAAGAATTTTTTAAAATTATAATGATATACTTTTTATTGATAATTCTGAACGATTAATATATCAATTTTTATTAATTTTTACAAGATTTTAGAATACACTAACGAAGTCTCATACCTAAAAACACCTAAATAGATTTTTCAATTTTAAGAAGAATTTATTTCTGATGATAATAATTAGCGAATTTTAATCATGTATAAAATCTTTTTTGTTTTTAATAATATAGTTTTTTCCGGCTTGTAGAAAAGTCTAGATCATAATTTAAATTTACTTAAATGCTGATGTTATTCGAATGAATTATTGTAAAAATCAATGAGTGATATCAATATTCTTAGACATTACAAAATTGATATTATACCATATCGACTTATGGCAACGAACAAAAGGCAAGATCGAAAAGCGAGTACATCCTGCAGTTTGACGTTTTAGATCAAGTGTTAGTATTTATTCAATAAAGAGAAATATTTCCGACATTTTTGTTTTTCTAATCAGAAAAAAATTTAACCGTATTTCTTAAAATTAAATATATGGATTATTAATCTAATATCGGGTGTTTTTTTGGATGTTAAAATAATATATAATCTATTTTCTTTGTCTTAACAAACAAATTTATTTTTAATATGGTAACATAGAATATAAGGCCAATGGTTGGATAATTATTTTTTTTATTATTTATTTTTTTCATTCAGTCATTGACAATCAGAAAAAGAAGTTATCTGAAGGCGACAACAATTTCGGATGTTTTGAATAAAAATAGAAAAGAAAATAAAAGTATTTGTTTCTTGACTGGTATCGTTAATTATTGATTATGATCGAATAACAATATATTTCTTAATATTTCATATAATTATTAAATAAGAATCGCTAATATAAATAAATCGTTTTCTTTCTCACTAACTCTTATTGAATTTGTTTTGTTTGAATCAAGGTTTTTTTTCAAGTATAATACTATTCAATATGTTAAGAGTCTATATTTCAATTGATCTAACATCTTACAATCATTATTATCACTATTAATTAAAAAGAAAACGAAAAAAATAGAAAGAAACAAAATAATAAAACTATTTATTTATCAATCTATTATTAGTGTGAGCTTTTTCTAGAACATAATCTTTTATTAATTAATGTCTACAAATGATTTCTCCTTTGTATAAAAGAACTACGTTCGACATATTCTTTGTCTATAATTGTCTCTTTTTCTTTTTTCTGATCGTATATTTGTAATTTAGTTTTAGTCGGATAGATATAATTTATTGAGTTATAAATTAGTAAGGCATGAAGATGAGTAAGTGATGAGATATATAATCATCATTTTCTAATTACGAAAAAAAAGTTAGTTCATCTGTAATTAAAAAAACAAAAAAAAGGATTCGAATAATCTGCCTCATTACATATATAAGATTGATACTCATGTTAGCTTCTATTCATAGTTTGATCTATAAGAATTGAAGTTAATGTATAGAAAAGCCAGAAAATCCCTTTTTTCTTGTATGAATTCTATAAGATTTTGAACTTTATGTTTATTTTTGTTTACTTTGATTTACATGTATTTTTTTTTTAGCACTTTATATTTGTCTATTATCCTTCTTTTATTTCATCGTACATATTCGTCATGATGAAAATTAATTTGATTTTAATATTTATTTGTGCAGAAATCTTCTTTATTAATTGCTACACAATTAATCAGTTCCAGGTAGGATTAATATGTTTATTAAGTTCATCTTTTTTTTTTATTTTTTGAAAAGAGATATCCCTGGTCTGATTATGATGTTGAATCAATAGATGTATTCCTTGCTAAACTTATACAACTAGAAAATTTATTTCAAAATGAAAATTTACCAATAAGTTCATTAGATCAATCTGATGGTCATTCACGTCATTTACAAAAACGTGGTCGACGTAAGATAAATTCAATTTTACTAGTTTTATTATTCATTTCTTTTATTTTTTTTAAGAATGCTTATGGAAAGTATGTAGTTGGGCACTTGACAAACGTTCACCTTCATCAAATCCTAGTAATGGTTTAGAAAAAAAATTATTATATTAGAGAAAAGAATAAATTTGCAAATAGTTCTTTTGCTTTTTTATTAGTTTTTTTCTCTTGATCATAAATGTATATTGTTTAATGGTCACGTCTAATATAAAATAAATAAAAATATATTATCTAACCTAATAATAAATCCATATGATTAAATTTATTAAGATTAGCTTTTGATCGTTCTGTTCGAGGTGAATCAGGTTGTTTTGATGATTTAGGATGATTATCTAATTGATGAGATTTTCTATCATGTTTTGTAGGCATAGTTAGTTCTTGTGATTGATCATTTGATATTGGTGGAGGTGATGGTGTTAAATATTGTCGTCGTTGAGCTTTTAATGTTTCTTTAACACTAGGTAAATTTGATATACGTATATCTTGTTCAATTTTTCGTATGAAATCATTTTTAACACGTATATGTTCTTTCATTTTTAAATAATGAATACGTGATAAAAGTTTTTCTTTTTTTCGATGTTGTCGTCGTGCAATATCAAGTTGATCAAGTGTTATACGAGAACGATGACTATCACGTATAAAATCTGCATAATGATCAGCATCAAAATCATCTCGATCAATATGTGTTGATTTTAATAAAGAAGACATTAGATATAGAAAACATTAGCTATGTAAAGAAAATGTAAAGAGAGTGTACACTTGAATGAAAGTATGTTGAGATTCTTGAAGAAGAGAAAAAAATGACAGAAGAAAAAAAAAGAATTTGAGACAAAATCAATTTGAGTTGAGAACTTTAAAAAAAACAACAGTTAAGTGGAGAAATAACTGTAAAAATCAATATTGTTTTTTTTTTGCTGTGTAAATTTATAACAAGAAATTGTTAACAACAATTTCAGGACTTAAAAATTTCTGAAAATTACAGAAATTTAATGAATGTCTGAAATCCTTTGCTTTTGTTATCTAATTTAAAAAGTTCCTAAAATAGAACGTAAAGTACCACCTTCTTTACTTCAATTATAAATTTCTTTTATTTTGGCATCAACAAGAATTCAAAATTCAAACTTTTAAAATCAGAAGAACACCTCGAAATTCTTTTTTTTCTTATATGAATTATTTACACATTGGTATTACAAAAAAAAATCGATATATTTTTAGAATATTCAATACACAATCGAATATTTCATTCCGATTAAATAAAGTACAACAATATAATAATAACCAATGCAAAAATTTCGGATCAATCCTCAATAAATATCGAATAGTATATATGTACTGAAGCGGGATATTCATATAGAACATTATAATAAATACAATATACAAAATAAATGATAAATCGCAATGTTTCTATTCATTGATTAGTTTGATACAAATGATTTATGACAATTGTCTAGAGATTTTTCTCACAGAGATTATAAGAAAATTACAAAATTATATTTTATTTATAATCCTAACAAAGTGAACAATAAGAATTTTATACAATCATATCTAACATGCTATCTTTCTAAGATCAATATATAACAAAAAGAAAAAAAACGAAACTATACATAAGTATTTCTATGTAGGACATGAATATCATTGACAATGTTTTAGATATTTACGACGGATATCTTGAATTTGATGATTGACTTTATCGTAGATACCACCATTAGGCTTTTCATTTACCTTATAAATAATATTAATAAATTTTAGAAAAAGAAAAATATTAAGAATATTTTAACTTACATGTTCTTTAATGAATGGTTCAAGATAACGAAGAGGAATATTTATACAATTTGGATCATCATTCATAAGATATTTCATTATTTTTGGATATTGAATAACATATTTTATATATTCATGATGACGAGCTTTACGTTCAAGAATAGATTCAATCGATAATTTTCGAATTTCTAAATGTACTTTACACTTTTGTGTCTGACTTTCATCATCATTATTATTATCATGAGAATCCTGATTTGATGTTTCTGTCGAATCTAAAAATAAATAAAACTCTAAAAAGAAAATGAATCAAATCTAAATCCTACCACTATCGTCTTTATCAAATGAAATTTCTCCGTCTAAAATAATCCATTCAATATTTATCATAAAATTTCTCAATCAAATTCTTACTTGATTTTTTACTAGTTGTATCATCTTCTGAATAGAAGAAAACAAAAAACAAAGAATCAATTAAATACTTTTATTAAAATTTATTTCTTTTGCCTTTTTCTGATAGTTGATCAACAAAATCAATTGAATCATTATTAATTTTATGAATAATTTTCATAAATTTTTCTCTTATATCATATAATCGTGCTGATAAAATTTGAATATCTTTTCGAACTTGTACATCTTTAATTGATTCATCATCATCATCATCATCCGTACTTTCTTTTTTATTTTTTAATAAACAAAAAACAAAATGAAAACATTGAGATTTTTATTTCACTTACTCCTTAATTCTCTATTTGATATCATCTGCAAAAATGAAAAAACAAAAAAAACCTTGCCTATAAGAACCTTCAATGGATGTTTTATTTTAAAACAAGAACAAAAACTTCAAGTTGTCCATGAGAGAGTCTCAGGCAACTGTCTGATTTTAAACATAACAATAACAAAATGTTTTTTTTTTCGATCATAAATCAAAAGACAAAAAAAAAAATAGCTTATGATGCTCGTTTGTCTTCTTTTAATGATACCGTTCGATTGAATACATACTGAAACAAAAAAAAAACAAGAAATAATAATTATTTATTTATTTTAATGAATAATTTCTATTTTATAATTACATAATCATTAGTTGAATCTGGATCAACACTAAAAAATCCAACGCGTTCAAATTGAAATTTATCGAATGGTTTAGCATTTTTAATGCCATCATCAGCAAGAGCATTTTTATTAATTGTTAAAGAATTCTAAAAGAAAAAAAAACAGTAAATTATATAATAAAATCAATAGAAAATTTTCATACTGGATTAATATCCGAAAGAAAACCACCAGGTACTTCTTTAGGATCATCCGGATTTGAATGAAAAAACCTAGAGAAAAATAAATAAAAAAAAAATAAATTATTTAAATCAAAATAAATAAATTTTACAATGGATCATAAAGACGAATTTCACATTTAATCGGATGAGATACCCAATGAATAAAACCTTTTGGTTTTGAAACACCTTCATCTGTTACTTTCTGACATGTTACTTTCAATTCAATTGGTTCATTATTTGAATCCTATATAAAAATTAATAAATTTTTATTTTTTATAGAAATTCTATTTATTATTTCAAATTATTTACTCGAACAATATCTTGAACTGTAATAATATAACCAGCATGGCGTAATCCACAAGGTTGATTAGGTGCTAAACGTTTATAATCTTTCGTTGGTTTCTAAATGAGACAAAAAAAAACTTTAACTCAAAATTAATAAATGTTTCATGTTATCAAAGCGATTAAGATGACTGTCTTGGTATAGAAAGATATAATGAGCAAGTGATCATTCATCTATTTACATAATATGATCTACGCCCAACTTGTCTCCGATTAATAATTAAGATCGATCTTGTTCGTTATGCTTTATTTTACGACTACTGAATGAAACCAGAAGATACTGGACTACTTGAGCTTTCAATATATTGTCAAATGTGTAAATAAGACTTGTGTTGAATGACGTTGTAGAAATCGGATATGTTCAAATAGGGTGTAGATGAAAAATGGGCATCACATCTCCACGAGAGAATTACTTTTTCCTACTAATACAAATAGTTGATATAAAACGAATGTATCAGATATAATTTTAGTTTTGTCAATTTCTAAATTTAAATGTTTATTTTTACTAACTAATTGATGTTATTCATTTTCTTTTTTTTGTTCTATATCAATATTAAAGTTATCTGATATAAACATTAAATTTTCATTAGTAATTGATTCTTGCTTATTCAAAAATATAAAATCAGTTTGTTTTTACTCGTATCTTCAATTTATAAAACTTTCTCAAACAAGTAAATATCAATTTAAATTGCTTAATGATTACATTAAAATCAATCCTAGCATTCCAATCTACTTTTTTTTTTACCTCATTAAAATCTGATTTTTCAATATAAATAACTGAATCAAATTTAACTGCATGTGATCCACGAGATTCATCAGCTGGAAAATTTGGTACATTTAATTCCATAAGATTTTTACTTGGAAAATTTGTAATTGTTACTTTTAATGGTTCCATAACAACCATTACTCTATTTAAAAAAGAAAGAATAAAAAGAATTTATTTTCATGGAAAACAAAAAACAATTAAACTTGATTTTCATACCGAGGAGCAGTAATATTAAGGACTTCACGTACACATGCATCAAGCATATCTGGATGAAGAACAGTCTGTGACATTGTTACACCAATACGTGAACAAAATGAAATAATTGCTTCTGGTGGAAAACCTCGTCGTCTTAATGCAGTTATTGTATATAAACGTGGATCATCCCAATCTCTAAATTTTAATAATCAACATAATATTTTATTTTTCTCTTTTAGTTTTATTCTTACTTAACAACTCCTTCAAGAATTAATTTAGTAATTTTACGTTTTGATGTAATAGTATATTGAAGATTAAGACGACCATATTCCCATTGTACTGGACAATAAAGATCAAGAGCATTACATAACCAATAATATGAAGAACGTCTAAATAAATTTTGTTTTCTTAAAATAAAATTTTTTATTTGTTTTTTTTATTTGACACAAACCTTGCTTGAAATTCTTTCGTACATAATGAATGAGTAATATTTTCAATTGAATCATTTAAACAATGTGTATAATCATATGTTGGATAAATACACCTATAGAAAAAAAAAAGAAAACAATAACAAAAAACTTAAAGACAAAAAAAGAAAAATTTCTTACCATTTATCACCACTTTTAGCATGATGAGCATATTTAATACGATATGCAACTGGATCAAGTTTACCATCTTCCATAACATATTTCATACGTAATGTTGCTTCACCTTCAGCAAATTTTCCATTTTTCATATCCTTTTACAATTAATATATATATTTTTATAAATAATCAAATTTTATTTTTAAAATAAAAAAATCTTACTTCAAATAATTGTAATGATTCTTGAATAGGTCGATTTCTCCATGGTGATTCTGGAACATTATATCCTTTTAATTCGTCACCTTTTTGATGACATATATAAGCATCACCACGACGAATTAATTCTTTTGCCCATTCATATAATTGATCGAAATAATCAGATGCATGAGTAATATTGTATGGTTTATAACCTATATAAGAAGATCTTTATTGTGAACAAAAAATGAACTAGAGTTTTTTTTTTCTTAGAAATTTACCAAGCCATTGAATAATATCAAGAATACCCGTAAAAAATTTTTCTTCTTCTTTTTCTGGATTTGTATCATCATAACGTAAATAACAAATACCATTATTAGCCTTAAAATAAAAGATTTTTAAAATTTCTTTTTTCTGTTTTACCTTCTAGGAAATTACTTTAGCGTAACCAAAATTAAAATTAATTGCTTTTGCATGACCAATATGTAAAATACCATTTGGTTCTGGTGGAAATCGTGTAACAACCTAGAATAATAAAAATAAAACAGAGGTTAAGGCCTTCCCTCTTCAAAAAAAAAAAGCCAATTTTCGTCAAAAAATCGAAATCTATGATAAATGTATGGGAAGATAGCCCGAAATCCGATCTTTCATAAACTATATGATATTTCTTTATTTGATACCTCGGTTTTTGTCAAAATTTTCGACATAAGCGGAAAATCTTTTTTGCTTTTTCTTTGCTTATACTTTTTCGATCTCACATCTCAGAATTCTCGAAAAAGCGTCATTGTAGCCAATAGCATTTTTTTTTGTTCGCAAGAGAACATGAAACTACAGTGATTGGCAGAGTCTGTAATTACACTTTTTTATTATTATACAATAATTTAAAAAAAAAGATTCCGACAGACCATTAGACGGTAGGACAATGTCAATTTAGAAGAACCTCGAACAAAAAATTTCAGATTTTGACGAGAGGGCGAAAAAAAAAGGAAGTAATATTTCATTTTTACAATCCTTTAGTTTTTCCTAGGAAGCGCTTCGGACAGTGATACATTTAAGGGTGGAGAAGAGCGAAAGGACAGTCTCATACTTTCAAGAAAATTTTTTCGATTTTTCCAAGTAAAACGAGTTTACACTACCTTAGACACGTCCAGAATGTGTGTTCTGCCTATAATCGTCCCTTTTACTTCCAAAACCATAGATCCGCTACCGACTTAGAAGTATTGCTAACACTTTTTTTGAATTTTATAACAAATAGAACCTTTACACTAGAATATAGAACAGAATCAATTAAAATGTCTATTAAATCTTTCTCGCTTGTTCGGCAAAGTTCCTGTCTGCTATGCAACAAGCAGGATGCAGTTCAATAGTGACTTATGTACGAAAAGACTTTAAAAGAGATTTCATAACCTAACTAACATTTCAATATTACTAAATTTCCTAATGTTTTGCAAGACATTAGGTGAAAAACTGAATTACTAAATTTTCTCGGTACATTCACTTTTTGTGCTGTTGTTCAACATAAGCGTAGTCTCATGTCAGGTTCTGTGATAGTGATTATCATCGAAGACGTTCAAATTTTCACTTGTTTCATGACAAAGAAACCATTTCTTCAGTCTCTCGTTATACTGTCGGAGGCTGCCTTCTAAAAAACATAGACTGAGTTTAACCTCTACAAGCTTAAGAAATCCGCCGCCAAAATGCGAGACAGCTCTTCAATCCTAACACTTTTGTCACCTTATATGACAAGCACTGTAGTCTGGCATGCTCTTTCAAATAAAAAGCATGAAATCTATAAAACGAGTATCCACAGAAAATTGTGGTCTGCTCAAAAAGCTATTTTCTACTCTTGTTTGTTGAATATCTCTCTCAAACGTCATGATATAGAGCTGAAAATTTCATGGACTTTGAATGCATGTAACTCAAGATCGATTTTTTGAGGGAGGACTGCAAATAAAAATTTGGTACGTACTTGTCCACCAGTTTGTTTCAAATGTTCTCGTAAAAGATCCATTGTCTTTGGTGTCATAACATAACCTTCAGTTTTATAATTCTCACCTATAAGAAAAGAGCAAAGATATATTTAAGAAAACTTTTTTTTTTTAAAAATAATTTTTACCTGGTTTATGAAAATTTAAAGCTTCACCGCTTAAATCAGAAAATGAATTTGTTTCACCATTTTCGCGAACTAAACTTAAATCAATAAAAAAAAAGAAAAAATCAAATTTTCATCTTACCATCATTATTTGTAGTTGTAGTTGGTTTGGCTTTTCCAGTCGATGGCTTTGTAGTCTAACAAGAAAAAGAAAATTATAAATAAAAATCAAATTTATGAAAATTTAATTTACATTTTGCTTTGGTGTTGTACTTTTTGTTGATTGATCATTGGGACCAAGAAGATCGAGTAACTGTTAAAATTTAAAAGAATATTTTATATTTAATTTCAATAAAATTTCTTACTTGAACATCCATTTCAGCTTTAACTGCTTTTCCATCGGCCCATGGTAAACGTTTTCGAGCTTCACCTAAAAGACTACCCACGGGAAAATCATAACGTTGTTCAAGTAATTTTGTTTTATTTTGTGTAATTATTTCTTCGATAGTACATTCTATTTCTTCTGGTGTAACTGTTACTCCTATACCAGCATTTGCTTCTAATGCTTTGTGATCAATTGGTTCCTGGGGATGTGTTAGAAGATATTGAATAGCAGCTAAGAAGAATATATTTAATATTGATTAGAATAGATTTTTGTTTTTATTATTAATTATTTTACCTGATAATTGAAGATCATTTTTAATCTTTTCTTCACATATATATTTAATTAAATATGGATGTAAATGATGTATTTGTTGTTTACTTTTTGTTGCAAGTGCATAAAGAAGATTACCAATTGATTTTATTATTTGATTTTCTTTTGGTAAAAATTTTTTTGCCTAAATTAAAATAATTTGAATGAATAAGAACACAAAAAAAAGCAAGGCCAATAGTTCTATTAATTACTTCATTAATATTTGTTTCAAGTAAACGAGTAACATCTTGATTTTTTAATGTTTCTCGAGCTTTTTGTTCATTGAGACCAATTGATTGAAATAGTGCAACACGTGTTTCATTATCATTGGATACCGCCATATCTCAAAACAAAAACAAAAATATATACTTAAATTGTCTATTTATTTTTTTGTCATTTAAATAGCTCAGATGTTGGCCTCTCTCACGACTACATACAGCTGATGCAATGTGCCTCTCAGCTTATGTCACTATTGACTAAAATGATACAGGAAAGAAAGAACAAGTTATTGTCTATATGTGTAAATGTCCATATTTTCATTACATAATAATAATAAGTACGAGTTAAGATATGATATACTATAAAAATAAGTCAGACAAAAAAAATTCATCTTCATTATGAATAAAACTATTGTTTTTTTTTTCAATATATCTGAAACTTAAAAAAAAAATATTTATTTTTTTATCACATGAATGCAAAACGCATGTTCTATTCGGAATTCACAAACAAACATAAACTTTTCTTTTTAAATTTTAGAACAAAAATACAAATAATATATAAACAAAAGTTATCAGACACAAAAAAAAAAACAGATTTATCATATGAAATATCAAAAAACAAAGAAAGACAAATACAATTATAATATATTAATGAGTTGAAGATGACGGACTATGTTTTCGTTTATTATTATTACGTTTTTCTACACGTCGTCGATGATCATTTAAATATCGATTTAATTTATCCAATGCTTGTCGTTCTTCATCTATTAAGAGATTTATTTCTTGTTCAATATATCTTCGATTTTCATCAAATTTTGATCTATATTCATCTCTAATTTGATCAAGTTCATTTTGACATTGTTCAAAAAACTTTAAAATATTATTTGATGCTATTGGTCTAATCGGTTTTATATCTGTATCAACAGTTGTTAATTGATGTAGAAGATCAGTATAATTACTAATTGTAGTAGCAGAAGGAATCGATGATGATGGAATAGATAATTGATCAGTTACAGGACAATGACTAATAATAGTTCGTGGTGGTGATGTCCAACCAGATTCCATTTTTCTATTCTCGTAAAAAAAAGATAAAGTAGTTAGTGAGTTTTGAGACTATACAGTGTGAATCATAAATAGCACTATGAACCTATTGTCAAGTAAGAAAAATATATATAGGAAACGTTTCATAGATAATTTTCAGTTGTTATCTAACGAAGAAAAGTCTCCAATTGTATTTTGTTCATATGTTGGAGACATTATTCTGAGAGAACTTGGGCTGATGTAGCTTTCTTTGAAAGTGATCACAATTTTACTAATGTTTCCATCTCGTATACAGTTTATACAGAAAAATCGAACAGCAAAATTTTGGACTGGAATTCTGCTGTTCATTTTTTTGAATATATTTTGCGCTAGGTGGAAAAAATCAGTAAAATGGTTATCATTTTCGAAGCAAGCTCCATCAGCCTAAGTTCTCTTTGAATAATATCCTCAACATATAGACAAAGTATTATTGAAAACAACATGAATCATTTGGGAACCTTCTTTCATAAGAGAATAAGAAGTGAAAAAGAACTTTATGAATAATACTGTCATGACAGAAACCAGACAAGTTTTCAATACTAGTCAATTTAAATGTTGAAATTCATACTCTAAAAATAAACTCCACCATTGTAGCCATGTTGGCAATAAATCCTTGCAAAAACTAATGTTCCATGTTTGAAAATTTGAAATTTTCTAATCATCACTGAAAATTTATTTGATATTTCATTTTTTTTTGTGTCGTAATGCTATTCGTGGCAAGATTTTTTTTTAATTTGATGAACTATTCATATAATAGTTATTGAATGATCGTTAATGTATGAGTTTTTTCATTTAAAATTGAAATCCTTCTATTCTCTAACGAAAAAAAAATCAGTAAAACTTACTCTGGAGAAGGAATAAATGTTGGTTCCTTAACAATAGACGATGGTATAGCATTTAAAAATGATAGTAATTGTTGTTGAATATTTTCTTGATGAGTTGTTGGTAATGTGAATAAAGATAGTTGATTTTGTACTCCTAGTGAATTAACTATAGGTTCTGGGAATGACGTTTTTGATACAACTGTTGATTTTACTTCAAGATTATTATCATTATTATTATTACCATCATCATCATCATCATCATCATCACTTTCATCCTTATTAGTAGAAGAAAATAATAATGAAGCAAGATGACGAGATGCTTTTCTTATTAAAAGATTTGTTCCTTGTAAACGTATATTAGGTGTATCAAGAATTTTCTTAACAGTTTTTTTATCATTGAATTCCATAACAGCACATGTCGGATCATTTAAAAGTATATAACAAGCAATAACTGGTGCACGTCTATGAAAATAATCACTAAAATAAATGAATAGATATATAAAGTAAACTTTTTTTTTCTTTGATTTCTTTATCTTACATACACTAACATTGTTTCAGTTATATTACTTGTTAATCCTTGAATATATATTTGATTTTGTTTATTTTTCATGGATATTATTTTATTAACAAATTGTTTTGGATGTATAGGTTTATAAATAAAAAAATTTCTCTGTTCAATTGTTATTGGTATTGTTTGTTTTTCAAATATTGTTGTAATAGATTGTCGATTATTTAATTCAAATAATAAATATGCTTGTTTATCTTGTTTTGATAAATAATAACGTAATGATGAATCAATTTTTCTATAAAATTCAATAATTGTATTTATATCATTTGAATTTAATATGGGGCCAATAAAAAATTTACGATCAATATTTAATATAGCATTATTAGTATATATAGTTTTATACAATTTTACATCAAGTAATATTCCATCAACGTCATGAATATTTTCATCGAGAAATTTTTCTACTTGTTCATGATTAGCAAATTCAATAATATGAAAATCACAAAATTTTTCTTTTTCGAATGATGATGAAACAATTGTACCAAAACGTGAACAATAAGTTAATAATGTTTTATCATCAAGTGAAGTTGTATTACCAATATAAATACATAATGATAAATTTTGAAACGAAGATATATTTAAATTTGATGCCATTAGAAAATATAAATTAGAAAATTAAAGAAGGAAGATATCATTATATGTGTTTTGAATGAACAACGAAGTTTTTTTCCTCTCGTACAACGAAATTGAATAAACTATAGTTTACCATAGACTATACAAATAACTAGAGGTCGCTCTTTACAGACAAAATAGTCCATCTATAATTGTCCATTTTATGATATAATTTTCCGCATATAGTGGTACACGCTCAAAGTATGATGATTTATTGAATCAATAGCAAGAAATGCACGTGGAAGGGAGTAGATGTGGGAACACTGTTTTTGAAGATTCTTATTGTTATCATTCGAAGTAATAAAGAGAGAGAGAGAGAGACATTTGAGTATAATTTATTTTTGTAATCCAAGTCCCATTTACGAGATCGCCGTTGGTGGGCGACGACAAGGACGCAATAATGACGTATTTGAACCAATAGAAACTTTTCATCTTTTGAATTCTCTTCCATTGTGTCAAGACACAGATTGCGATTAGTAGCACCATCTATATATGCGGGACACTTTTTACGCTAAAGCCTTATGTGCACTTCAAAAGAGAATAATTTTTTACAATCCCTACTGATCAAATGATCTCGGATTCCTGGCGAAACTGCAGATGGTGCATACAAGTACATGTCTTGCTATTGTTTCGCTATTCTGTGTATACTTCTTTTTTGTTCACGTTTCAGATTTAGCACAAATTTTGTTTCGTATAGAATTCGAAATAACTTTTTAATACTATGGATAAGTTCGACATGTTTAGCACTGTGATACATTTAATTGAGAATATTATTATTCTTAGATGATAATTTAGTAGACATGAGCGAGATCAGTCATATTTGAATTTCATGCCTGTTCCATTCATGTTGAGCCATACTTTTGTATGTAGTAATATGGTAAAAGAAAGCATCGCTGCGGATAAAAACTTGATTAAGATGTTGCAGTTGAGTTTGGAATCTAGTTGAGATTGGAATCACTTAGTTCACTTTGTTTGTTTAAAAATTTTTCTAACACATATTCAAGAAAACTTATTTGTTTCTTGTCAAATTTATATTTACTATTACTTCTCGGACAATAAAAAGTATCTTCGTACTGTTATTTTGTAGCTGAAAAGCCATTAGTCATTGTATTTTTTTTTTTTTGTAAAAGTAAATCTTGCTCGTCATTTTCCTTATAATGTAGTTTCTATATCGATGCTCGAGACATGGAGACCTTGGACGATTGGTTGAAATGAAATTGAAAGTACTTAAGTTATTTGTTTCTATACAATAGATTCTTTTTTTGAGCAGCAGGACATTGGGACATTGGGACATTGAATCATTGGTTGAAATGAAATCGAGAGTACTTGAGCTATTTCTTTCTATACAATAGACTTGTTTTCGAGCAGTGGGACATGAAGACATTGAATCATTGATTGAAACGAAATCGAGAGTATATGAATTATTTGTTTTTATAAAATAGTTTTGTTTTTCGATGCTCATAATTTGGGGGATCGAATGATTGGTTAAATGTTTAGTGTTAGCAAATTCGTTGTTAAAAACTTGAAATTGAATGATTTGTGCTATTTAGAATAGCAGCTGACCTGTTTTTCGATTGATTGAGTAATAATTGACCTATAAATGGATTGTTGATTGTCTGTTCGATAGATTTATTGTGAGGAAAATTATCAGTGTCAGATTGTAGTTTAGAATTGGGGATGCTCATTTTTTTTGAGAGATTCACATAAAAAAAATATAATTTATGTAATTAAAAGCAAATCCTAGTGCAACATCTTGTAACCAAGATCTTGACCAAGATACAAGGTACATAAATGTTAACAGATTTTGAAAATTCAGCTACAGATATTAATATCATTATCTTGTATCAAGATCTGTAATCAGATCTTAGGTACAGATCTATAAGATCTTAACTGAAGTATCCGTGTTCAAAAATGATCACTAAAAGTCGTTTATGGATGACCCTAAATACTACCGAGATAGTAAATCGGAAGTAAAATTTGACGCTGAATATGAATCTGAAATCGGATCGCTGCTGCAAACACAAGGAGTCAAGCTAGGGACCAAAGATCAGTTTGAAAACTGTTCACAATCATCGTCCTCACGAACACCCTTGAATGAAGATCATGTTTTCTTAAATGATTCGGGACAATCTAGCTCCAAGCAGTAGCAGAATCATCTGTAACAGGTATTATCAAATCAAGATCTGTTAACATTTCTGTTCCTTGTATCTTGGCCAAGATCTTGTCACAAGATGTTAAGATCTTGGTACAAGATATTTCACTAGGGAACAGACATTGAATGCGTTTCTTGATTGAATGTTATATAGCAACGAACATCAATCGATTAATTATAAGTAGATAAATAAAATTCTAATAGTCACTAAATAAGAATCCTTAAAAATGAAAATTTTCAATATGTAAATGTTTTAAGATAATTCAAAATAAATCATAGAAGTTCAATATATAAAGTAGTCTTCGAAAGGCCTGCTGCCAGGTAAAAGGTACCTAAATTTGAATATTTTTTGCGTGATATTTTTACTATAAACAGAACTCGATAAACTCTGACTACAAGCACCAACCAGAGATCGATCGGCTTTAAAGTAAAAACACTATTGTTTTCCTTGGATCTTAAAAATGGCTTTTTGCATGCTTTTCTGATTCGTCATTATCTTGAAGCGTTAATATACATCGTTTTATTGACAAATAAAGCTCTACATGTCTTAATTGTATCACAAATAGGCGACTTCAAACTGCTGTGATCTCAGAGAATACTTGATTAGAACCGATAACCCATTGGAGGCAATGTCAAGGTAAATGTTTGATAAATCAGACAAACTATAATTGTTTGACATGAAAAATTTTATCAATAATAGAGACAGCACTGATCTATTGTGTTCTAGCTCATTTTGCATGAAGGCTGATCAAGTCCTAATTGCTACTTGTAATTAGGATTCATTGTGTTCTATTTGTAACCAATATATGAGATTAAAGAATTCACGCCTAGATATCTTCTATCTGGTAGTGGGACTACTGATGACTACTGTATATAGGAAAATAATATTTCGATATAAAAAAAAACAATTTCGAAAACTAATTTAAGAGAGTAGTTTAATAGTTTCTTCATGATTTTTTTTGTTGTTGACAGATGATGAATCAAATCGAATGACATTAAATTTTTTATGTGTATCTCGTAAACGACAAATAATCCTAAGCAAAAACAAAAAAAAACAGTAGATAAATTAATACTTTAATTCTGAATAAATCTAATTAAAAAAAAATCTTACAAAAATGTAATGGTTAAAAAGACGACAAAGATCATTATCAAAAATATAATAATCGTAACCTTCTCAATCTTAATATCATTACAAGTAGTAATTATTAATTCTTTAAAATTTTCATAAAAATTATATTGTTTATTTTTCAATAGTTTCTTTATGTTTGACTTTTGTTTTATCTTTACAAAAATAAATTAATTAAATATTTAATAGTAAAGAATTTTATTTTAACCTCATAGAATTTTTGTGAATTATTAGATTTCTCAATAATATTTGTATGTTCAGCAATTCGTTCTAGAAGCATACGAATCATTAATGGTAAAAGTAAAAGTCGAGTATTTTTCTGTAATTTGAAACGATCAGAATCTTCATTCGATGACAAAAAAAATTTATGATTGCTTGTCATTGGCAAGTTTTTATTAACTAACTTTTGTTGTTCGTTATTTTCATCATCATCATCATCATCAGAACGACGTATGCCAAAAGCAATCATGCGTACAATAATATTAAAAGGTTCTTTATGTGTTTCGTTATCTTTGACAACTGTTACTGTCGACAAACGATAACCATTAGGATTTTTCGAGATGATTTTTGATGGAATATCATTATTGTTACTGTGAACTAATCGATAAAGATTAGTAAATACGATTATAAATACAATTTCATGAAAAAATAAAAAATACATAGCATTAGAAGTTTATTTCAAGTAAATAAAAATAAATAAGAAAATATGTTGAAAATAAATTATAGAATAACTGAAGAAGGTTTTTGAAGAAATTACAAAGAAAATCTTTATGATTCATTATTAGGATTTAGTTTTTTGATGTTTTAAATAAAGGCGCGTATTAGTGTTCTATCATATTATATAGAGCAAAAACTATGTTTAATAATTTTAGTAATACAAGTTACATTTATAACTAGACGGCATTCGAGTTTCATTCGATTGATGGATAAATTGATATTTTCTAAAAAAAAACGAATAATTCTTTGATATGATTCAATGAAAATGATTATTTATGTGCTCCATGTTATCGAAGAGCAACCGAAAATTTTAATCATATCTATGCTTTTGCTAATTTATCACCTATGGATAGTGATGAATTACGACCGGCACGAGCTGCTGCTATTGCAGCTTTATCTACTATTTCAACTCTTACTACTACTGATATGTCGCTTTCTGATCATTATGATTTATCATCAGAGATCTCAGATGAAGAAATTATAAATTTCGAATCACAATTTAACCGTGAAAGATCAGTTGAACTTTCAAATAATTTTTCAGTACTTGTTGGTCAATTACCCATAAGAGATATCAGAAATAGAAATATTGTTTGTGAAAAAATTAATGATGCATTTGCGATTATTCGTCAAGCTACTGAACAAGTATATAAAGACGATGAGAAAAAAGACAAGTTAAAAATTGATGTTAAGCCAGAGCTGACAATGAATGATGCGACAGAACTTATTAATACTTGTAAATTTCTTGTTAATATCAGTGATCATTCAGAAAAAATTAGATTATTTACATTAGCTCCTAAAAGCTAGGACCATCTTAAAATAACAAATTTTTTCTCATGTTTTGATCATCAAGCTCGTTAGAATGTTTATTTACGAGATGCAGGTCAAGTTTTATCATTAGCAATCGATCTGCGTTGAAATATTGCATTTGATCCAGTTATTGAAAAACATATTTCCGATTTCTTTCATACTGATAAAATTAGCAGGGTATCGTATCTAAGAAGAATTGAATATCAAATAAAAAAATGCGTTTTCTAGCAGAACGTTATTGATTTTAAGTAATGTAATAATGAAGTTTCACGTCATATACTAAATTGGTTTTTTAGATTGATTTATTAATAAAGTATTTTTTCTGGTTTAATCAATATGAGAAAATTGCCACTTGTTTTACTAATCAATAGAAGTATTTTTTCACATTTCTCATTATAAGAAATTGTATCCTGTTGATAAAGTCTAGTTTTTGATTATAATCATTCATTGAACTTACTAAAACTGATTTAAGATATTATATACTATATAGGAAAGTAAAAAATATGGGGCTTTTTTTCCATAAAATTCCAAATAAATTATCTAATTTAAAGAAAAAGAAGAGAATAGTATTTTGGATATTTTAGGCATCGCCAAATAAAAAAAGATGTTTTGCAAAATAATATGAATCCAAAACCTATTCGTTACGTGCTTATGACGCTCAAGGAAGCTTATCAAAAATTTATTGAAGAAAATCTATCAATGCAAGTTGAAAAATCCACATTGGGCACTACACAAGTTTTTTTGCCCGGCTCTCTTAAAAGACTTAACCAAGAACTAACTATACCGCTATAATGCACAGAGATATTTAGGATTATCCGCAAGATTTCAGACTTCTAAGTCTTGTGCTTTGTTGTAGTCTATCATTTCTTTTGTACTAGGTATACGTGATTCTAATATAATACATAATAGGTTTTATGGTCGTGTTAGGTGTATCAATTTTCAATCCTTTAATAAGTTGTATCAAAAAACCAAAAGGCATAACAAGATGCAGCGTGCAAAGCTCTACAATTTACATAAGGCCGGTTTTCTTTGATAATTGCACATTTTGCTCTCAAAATGGACAAAGTTTTGAACGGTCGAATTTCGACGCCGCGAAAAAAATAATACGAACAAGAAATTTCTTTGTTATTGTTTCACGCTTTTATCGCCTATACAGATTGTACAGCTTTTCACGCTGCACCTTGTGACATATTTTGTTTTTATTTATGAAAACATACTGGGTAGTAAAAAGATGAAATAAGAAAAAAAGAGCTCATTCTGTGCAAAAAGAAATATAGTTGTTGTACAGTCGGAATATGATTGATAAAAATTTTGTTCGTTTTGAAAGCAAAATGTGCAACTACAAAAAAGTGGTCTGATGTAAACTGTGGAGCTTGACACGCTGCATCTTATGATGTACTTTGTTTTTCTAACACAATTTATTAAAGGATTGAAAATTGATACACAAAACGCGACCATGGAACCTGCCTCACCGATACAAAGGAAATGATAGACTACAGCAAAGCACAAGACTTAGAAGTTTGAAATTTTGTGCATAATTCTAAATATCCCTGGGCATTATAGCGGTATAAGTTAGTTCTTGGCTAAGTCTTTTAAGAGAGCCGGGCGGAAAAAACTTTTGTAGTGTCCCATGTAAGTTTAGTTCATTGAAACCAAAATGGATCAAAACAGCAACACTACACGACATATGCTATCCTATTATGATATTTCATATCTAGCTATTCTCTTAAATTTTTTTCTTTGGTTACATAGACTTGTGCATACGAATATCATGAAAATTCTGATTTATTGTTGAATACCATAATAGAATTACTAGCTCCTGATCTGATTTATCGTCATTAGTTAAAGTAATGATTTGCGATGATGCAACAATCAATTGGTATTTAGAAGAATATTTAAATTGTGATACTAATATTCCATCTACTTTTTCCAATTAAACAACTTAAAATGAATGGAGTGAACGAAGACGATGACGTAACATGGATGATAGGGGATAGAAATGAAAAAAGAACAGAGTTACAACGTTATACTACTTCTACCACTACTCTTCTTGAAAAATTCAGTTCTTTATAGGTTAAATTTTTAATTCATCATTTTATAACAATTGGATAACGTAAATATATTTAAAAAAATCAAACTAGAATCTTCAGAAAATGGAACTGCTGTTATTCAACTGAATTTTGCCGAAAAGAGTGGGGTGGGTGTACGTGTGAGTATGGATTGGAATCGTTTCTTTCCACATTCCCATCGATGGCAACAATAACGGAACTGTATTCGTGTGAGTTTTTGTTTCGTTGACTCACTCGTTGTTAATGTACTTTTTTTGTTGACCTTTCTTGTTTGTCATAGTTGCATTTTCAGAAGAAACCCAACAGAATCATGCAATCAACGTTAAGACCGTTTTTTTATTCGCGGAACAAACTCCAGTGTTTGCCCAAAGACATGCACCATGTGCTACACTGATGGTGTCTTTTTTCTTACTTTTGAATTAAGACAATCACCATTCATATCTTCAATATCCTGCCGATTTTAATTGAAAAAAATACCAGTGATATATTCCATTATTCGTCAACTGTATGCAAACTTAGATGACTCTTTCACAGGCATGCAAAACAGATGTTTTCTAATACATTTTGTATCGAAATACATTCATTATAAATATAGTTCTAGTGATAAATGTATTTATAGGGCAGGAGTTTTCTTGTTGTCATTATGGTGCATGTTAGAATTCTGTGAATCTCAAATGTGAAAAGACATAATTTGCATATTATTTCTTTGCGAATCGTAGAGATCAATGAAAGAAGAGCAGTAAGAATACCAAAAGACAACCAAATTTCATTTTATGAAACACATATTTCGAAGGAATATAAAATAAATCAAAAATCATTTTAACAAAATTGTCAGTGATGGTATATTTATTCTGTTAGTCTCACCCACACACCATTACAATGAAATTGGTCACACTGAAAAAAGAACATTAATATAACAGTACTTATCTAATATGAGATCGAATGTAAATGAAACTTGCGTATTCACGTATGACGCCAATAGCCAAAAGGAAATAATAAATTCTTTCCCATTTATAATTTTAATTCAAGTAATGACTATCTTATTGAATGAATGAAGAAACCAAAGGCTAATTTTATTTTGAATATTGATTCGACTTTGAATTAAACCTCTGTATTAATACATCACACAACTAAAGTCCATAACTACAAGTAGGTAGCTCTTAAATTATAGAAATATCTAATCGGTCAAAATTTGCGTGACTTCCTCTAGAGAGGATACCACTGGATAAGATCGCTAATCTGACACCGCCTGAGATCTCACTTTTAATAGAATAGAAAAATAGAGCATGAAATTTTGCATATTTCTGTCTATTTATTTCGGTTTTTGCTGAAGCCAAACAAAATTTTTCGCCGACTAAATAGTCTTAGGAAGTCTATCAGCTACGGACTTTCGAGTAAGTGTGGGTGCCAATGTTAGTGTGAGTTTTTTGACTTCAGTAAAAAACAAAATAAATAGAAAGAAATGTATAGAATTTCATACTCTATCTCTCTATTCTATTGAAAGTGAGATCTAAGGGGATGGCAAATGTACGATGTTATCCAGCGATAACCTTCCAATGGCGATTAAAATAAACCTTTTGCTCATTTGTCAGATCTATATGAAAAATGCATATTGAACTGCTTCACTCATTTTTGAACTAATAATAGATGCTTCAATCTTCCATGATTTTCGAATTCGAATAAGGGAACAAATTGTTGCTCGATCGTTGCTTCAATGAAAATAAAATTTATTTTTCTTCTTGTTACGTTCACATTATCACAATGTTCGTTATAATCATAATAAAAAACCGACGGAACTGGCGATGTTTTGGTTGTTATGTAGATAGAGGATGAAATTTAGAAAACCGTGGTATGTTAAGCTTGGTTTGATACATTCTTGTTTAATGAGGTACATATCTATTCTGTGTTGGGACTGTAATAGGCCTTTTTTACTCGTGTTATTTATAGTAGAACTAAGGTAAAGAGCTTAAGATATATAATTCATTTTGATTTCAAATAGTTATAAGAGTGTGATACGGAAAAAGAATTCTATAAATTCATGTTGTTAAAATAACTTTTACCTTCTTCGATAACAGTTAACTGGAAACTAACTCACCAAATTTTAATTATCTCGGATAAAAGATGGAGACCAAATCATCAAAATCACTGCTTTGTGGAACTTACTGAAGATGCACGAAAACTCATATTGAAAATTCAAAAACCTTTGTATCATCTCGAGACCAGGGTCTTCCTGATATAGTTCGAACAAATTTTTAGCGACTTGCCATTCTCTAAAACATCGCGACACACAGTACAGATTTTGTTACAGCAAAAAACACGCAAAGTATGGAAGCTGAATGCGTACGCGATTGACTACATAAATACTGAGCTTCGCACCGCAGCATTTCTATCTATGAAAAGGTTCATCATAAATCAAATAATATTCTTAATTGATGACAACACTTTATATATTGAACTACTAGTAATAAAAATAATACTTAGCAATAAATACTATCGAAAAACGTCACCGGAAATCAATCGAAAATACAAAAAAGAAATCAAATATAAAGAAAAAAATGTTAAGAGAATAAAATACAATCGAACGACGAATAAATTAAAGTGAATAGATCCTGATGAAGTATGTTTAATTGTTGTCATGGAAATTTGAAGTTTTTTATCTAATTGACAATAATTTTGACATTCTTGTTCAATATTAGACCATCGTTGTTGACATTGTGTAAAAATTCCTGTTATATTTCCTATTTCACGTCCGGACCATTGTTTAGGTGTTGCACATCGTGCAAATAATGATAATTCTATTGGTAATCGATAAAAATCACCACGTGTATATGCTTTTTCTAAATGACGACGAAGTTCAGGTCTTGATATCCATCGATCAAGATATGTATCTATATCTGTATGTACACGATCAATACCATTTCCATCCGT